CTCTGAAATAGTGTGATGGGATATTTTACGGTGGGCAGAGAGTGATATTGTCACAAAACTGAGTGAATTGTACCCTAGATATATAATGCAGCTTTTCAGCAGTATATTCACTGGTCCCTCGTTTTCACTGGGAGTTTGTTGTGGAACTGAAGTTATTAATGTTCAGTCTACTAGAGAGATCATTTGGACTGAGCTCAGTGCACTCAATAATATTGGGGATGACATGCATCCTCAAGAAGGGTGTCAGCTAGAATATATCCTAATTCTAATTAACATCCCTCTGTTATTTGTAAAGCTTCTGGATTCTCAAAATGGTGAACAGTTCACGTTAAGCAGCTGAAAATCCCACAGATCTGTTGAGATTGTGTCAGCATAATGGGATGAATTTTACATTTTTTTGGCCAAGTATCAGTTTCATTCAGTTTCATTCAGTTTCATGGATAGCTTCTCACCATGAGGCCTAGCAAGATCTCTCAACCATATCTCACTAAACTCACCTCATTAACTACCTACCCTGCCCCCTATGGCACTCCTCTTTCCTGATTCAAGTCCCATTCTACAACCTGACACTACCGGAAGAACGTGTCACTCGTCTGCCAAAAAAATCAGTATCTCTGGCAACCGTGCTATTTTTAAAAGGTCTCATTGCACCTGGATAAGCGTTGGCAATATAATGCAATATAATGACACAACAACAACATACCTAAGCAGCTCACAGCACATAGTCATCGTAGCTGACACCTCCTCACATATACAACCCTATTCTCTCACCCTAGTCACTGTTTTACCAGGCCACGCATTTTATCTGTTCTGAGCCACACACTGTCTAAGTCACTGTTACTCTATCCGCAGTGCCCACTGAGGACCTGCATTTTGCCATTGTCCAGAAGGGGAACATTAGACAAAAAAAAAATCAGACCATTTCAAAGTTGACTTTTTATTTACAGGCAGCAAAAGCAAACACAAACAAAACCAGTAAATGTTGCCGTTTAGTCCCACAATGCAAACCAAATGCTGAAATAAGGACAAACAACTGTTTTACAGCTAAGATTGCATGCTACCCAGCGCTCATCGACTGGAACCAAGTATCAACCAAGGTTCTGTTTGGCTTGTAGTGCTGGAAGCAGCTGAGCTCTATTATGCACAAAAAGGACTTCCTTCTCCCCAGGGCCTCACCCTCAGGAGACTACTCCCATTCCCCAGTTCCTCAGTATCCAGCACATTGCCTCATTGCCCAGTCCAATTTTGTTGATCACAGCGCACTAGGATGATATGGCACACCGTATCTGGATCGTGATTGCTCCCCCAGATCACAGTGATCATAATATAATTTAATTTTACATTCTGTTTGAGGGGGAGGAGTGGATCATAGGCTAGTATCTTAATCTTGGAGGTAATTAACAGGACAAGAAAGCAGAGTTAGCCATGGTGATAGATTCAGAGATAAGTCAATAATAATGCGGGGGCTGACATTTAAGGGGGTATTTCAGAAAACATGGGAGAGATACATTCCAATGGGAAATAAAACTTCAATGGGAAGGATGTACCATGTGGTTAGCTAAAAAAGTTAAAGATTATATAAAACTTAAAGCAAAAGCATACAGTTATGCCAAGATGGTTGGTAGATCAGAATCTCGGACAGAATATAAAGGATTGTAAATAATGACTAAAATGTTAATAAGGAGGGAATAATTAGTATATGAGAAAAAGCTGATCAGAAATGAGAAAATTAATATAGTTTCTATGGATATTCAAAGAGGAAAACATTTAATAAAGTGAATGTTGGTTCTATAGAAAGAGTGGAAAATTAATAAGGAGATGGTAAAATAAAATAAATAATAAATAAAATAAGGAGACGATAGTTGAATTTAACAGGCATTTTGTATCAGTAATCATTATAGATGATTCAAGTAACATCCATGAAATCACTTTGAGGGGAGGCAATGGCCTAGTGGTATTACCACTCGACCTTATTAATCCAGAGATCCAGATAGTGATTTGGGAACTTGGGCTCAAGTCCTGACATGGCAGAAAGTGGATTTGAATTCAGAATTTAAAAAGGGATGGGCAATAAATGCTAGTCCATCCAGCAACACCCACATCCCCCTTTTTTTAAGAGACTGTAAATTGGCAAATAAAAGGAAGGGACAACCTAAGAAAATTTAAATTACTAGGGTAAACATATGGGCTAACAAGCCCCCACCTCCTGAAGGACATCATCTAGGATCTTAAACTGGTGAGACAGTTGATGCATTCATTCTAACTTCCCTAGATTTGGGAAGGATCCATTTGAGTTGAAAATACCAAGTGTAACTCACACAGAGAATGCTGGAGAAATGCTACAGAAGTGGCAGCATCTGGGGAGAGTTAATGTGTCGAGTCTGGTGTGACTCTTCTTCAGAACTCAGTTCTGTAACGATGCAGTGAGGGAGTGTGAAAAAGATTGTTCCTGCCTGAGAGTATTGTCCTATGAGAAAGGCAAAAGAGGGTAAGAAGTGGAATTTGTGAAGAGGATAAAATGAAAACTTGTGCAGTGTTTTGGTGAAGGTTGTTTTTAGATGGCAATGAGATTGGGATAAGTTTGTGTTTTGCCTGTTCTGATGGGGATGTGAGGTGGCTATTGGAGGTAGAGAAATGAGTGGAGCAGTGTGTTGGTCTGAGGAGTGCTGTGCAGGAAGGTGTTGGAGGAGGTCAGAGTCTGGGGCTTGGCAGCTGACGGAAACTTTCCCTTCCTTATGCATTAATTGAACTTCTCTGCCACTGAATCCAGTTGTGAGGGGCCACATTCCTGCTGCTGACTGCACCTGCTACTTCCAGCCAGGCATGTTTGGGCTGAGAGTCTGGCTTCTTGCTCTTTTCACCAGGAAACAATACTTGTTTGGAGCCTCACATAACCCAAAGCATGGGAGGTGTCAAAGTGACAGGTGGGATGGATATCCCGCATCATGCTTTAGTTTTGGTGCTTTCTGAAGCCTCCGGTGTAGTATAATTGGATAATACAGACCATGGTAATCAGTTTATTTGATTTGTTTGATTTATTGTTGTTACATATACTGAGATACACTAAAAAGTATTGTTTCACATGCTGTATGAGCAGATCATACCATACTGAAATAACTGTGCAGAGGCTGGTACCCATCATCAAGTCACCCTTTATTTACATCTGCACAGTACACTAGGGGTGTACACAGAGAGTCGTGAACACAGTCCAATCCATCACACAACCAAGTCTTCCATCCATTGGCTCCATCTATACTTCCTGCTGCCTTGGGAAAGCAACCAATATAATCAAAGACCCCTCCCACCCCAGTTTACACTTTTCTACTCCTCTTCCATCGTGCAGAAGATATAAAAATTTGAATACACGTACAAACAGATTCAAGAACAGCTTCTTTCCTGCTGCTATCAAACTTTTGAATGGACCTCTCAGATGTTAATTCTGATCTCTCTCTCTGCACCTTCTCTGTTGACCAGCCAGCTCAAAGTCAGCCCCTAATGATTGAAAAAGCTGCGGGCCCTCAAGCAGTCAAAGGATTACTTGTTGTTTTTCATCTGCCGCAATGTCATTTGCCTGGAAAAAAATATTATATTCTTTCCACATACCAGGCCCAGTCTTCAAAGGCAGGATTGAACGAGTCAAGCTTCCCAAATAAAGGCATGATGCCAAGAATGCTTACCCTAACTCAAAGACAACTGTTGCGAACTAATGTTCTTCACATACAAAATGCATCAGGGTAGCAGAACAGAGTGCAGAATGCAGTGTTACAGCAACAGAGAAGGTGCAGAGAGAGAGATCAGAATTAACATCTGAGAGGTTCATTCAAAAGTTTGATAGCAGCAGGAAAGAAGCTGTTCTTGAATCTGTTTGTACGTGTATTCAAATTTTTATATCTTCTGCATGATGGAAGAGGAGTAGAAAAGTGTAAACTGGGGTGGGAGGGGTCTTTGATTATGTTGGTTTCTTTTCCAAGGCAGCGGGAAGTATAGATGGAGTCAATGGATGGAAGACTCGGTTGTGTGATGGATTGGACTGTGTTCACGACTCTCTGTAATTTCTTGCGGTCTTGGGAAGAGCATGTGCCATAACGCACTGTGATCTATAAAAATAGTGGACTGCCACTAAGCATGATGATGTGAGACCAGATGGAAACAGAAATAAACTAATGGGGTCTCAGGTATGTCCTTTCCTATCTTCTGTTGTGTCTTGTGTTATATTCAATAAACATTGTCGATGGACACTTACCTGACCGTGGATTATCATCTTGTCAATAACCCTGACCCAATCTTACCTCATCAGGATCCAATCCAGAATGTGTTTATTCTGACTTCAGCCGGGATTCCTCGAGATAGGAATCCTTCTATCTTCAGGTTTGGGCCTTTAAGACACCACACACCATTACTGTCAGGCAAAACACACAATTCTGCCCCTTGTTTTCTTGCCTCCCCCTTTGGCACTGACACTTACTAGGGGTGCGCGTTGATGGGCTCTGTCCAATCCTTCATTTCAGTGGCCGCTCTTGATGATCAAGGCAGTGCCAACAAGCTATTTGACCAAGCAAGGCGTCACAGTCAAAGTATTCTCACTGGCATCCTGTTTCCAGGCATCTCTCAGCTAGAGCAATGCCACATTGCTGTGGAGAGGGAAATATCAGATGAATTTTCTCTGTCCTCACGCACAGTTTCTGAGGCCAGTTACAAGTCAACCTCACATTACAATACTCCTTGTGATTGGTGCATTCAGTGACATCCCAAGGCGGGATTGACGTTATGAAGAGAGAGAGAGGGGCCTTTCCTGGAGAGATCTGCATCAGGAAATTCATTTGCTCACTGAAACTGAGTAATTCTAGACAGGTCATACAATATGACTGGTACTGCCTCAGAAAATAACCCTAGTATATAAATACTGGGAAAGAACTTGCAAAACACATTACCATGGCAATACCAATGCTTTGGCAAAAATAAAAGAAACAACCATTTTTTCAAAGTAAATACAATAGATATTGTAACAAAAAGTACAATTTTATTTGTACACATTTTTATTTTGTGTCATTGGTATCGGATATTTTATGACATGAACTAAAATAACAAATAGTTTGTATTTATGTCACATATTTAGCAGAACAAAACATCCCAAACAACTTCACAGAACCATTATCAAAAAAAAAATTGGCAGCAACATTAGGACAGACAACCAAAAGCTTGATCAGTTTTCAAAAGGTCTGAGAGAGAGGAGAGGAGAGAGTGGTGAGAGAAATTTAAGAAGGGAATTGTAGCACTTGGCACTCAGGCAGCTGAAATCACAGCTGCTGGATCAGAATAATTAAAATGAAGAGAAAAGAGAGTCAACATTTCAAGTCCAGTGACCCTTCTTCAGAACAGATTGTAGCTAAGAAATATTGATATTTATGCTGATGAAAGAGGGTTTGGGTGGGGGGGTTGGCGGTGGCAGGGATAAGGAGTGAGTGGATATGTGGAGACAGAGGCTCAGAGAATGAAAGAAAAAAAAAGGCTGGACAGACAAAGAGATTATTGATAGTAAACCAGGGAAAAAGAGAAACTAGATAGATATTAATGGGGGCTATGAGTAGTTGAAAATGGGTTGGCTGTACTGAAAGTGACGCATTTCATGACCGGTCCTGGGATTGTAGAGGTAGACACTAGACAAAGAAGAGATGTTCCTGCTCTAAAATTTTTAAACTTGATGTTGAGTCCTGAAGGTTTTAAGGTCCCCAAGCAGAAGATGTGTTGTTCTTCCAGCTTGTGTTGAGTCTCACTGGAGCACTGCAGCAGACCTGAGACTGAAATGTTGGCATGGAACATAGTGGTGTGTTGAAGTGGCATGTAACTGGAAGCGGAGAACCTGGGAGAATGATCTGGAATTCTTACATGAAGCAGGATATGAGGATGTATAGTCAAGGGGATGCAGAGGCATTCTTTCAGTTTCTCTGTCTCCGTCGCATATGTTCTGATGATGTCACCTACTGTGGGGGAGTGGGGAGGGGCCTCAGAAACCTCTTTCCTCAACCAAGGATTCCTCACTACCGTGGTTGACAAGGCCCTAAGCCATGTCTGACCCAACTCCCACACTTCTGCCCTCACCCCTTCTCTTCCCTCTGCTAGCAACGATAGGGACTCCTGCTCCTCACCTTCCACTCGATGATAAGCTGCCATTTCTGCCACCAGACACATATTCCCTCCCCTCCCTTGTCAGCATTCCACAGGGACATTTCTCTCTGTGACACCCTGGTCCACTCCTCCCAGAATCCAAAACTTCCCAATTTGCCGTGCCACCTTCCCAATCACAGAAGGTGCATCACGTACCCATTTACCTCCTCCCTGCTCACTATCCAAGGTACCAGACACTCCTTCTAGTTGAAGTACCAATTTACCTGTACTTCACTCAATACAGTTGACTACATTCGCTGCTCACAATGTGGTCTCCTTTACACTGGGGAGACGAAACACAGACTGGATGACTGCTTTGCAGAACACCTATGTTCTGACTGTAAAAATGACCCCAAGTTTCCAGTTGCCTGCCACTGAGGTAGTGCTAAGTGTCATCAGCATGCATGTGGGACCTAATATTGTATTTTTGGATTATGTTGCTGGGGGCAACATATCTGAAAAGGAGGATAGATCCTTCAGGGATACCAAAGGTATTGCCGCTGTTGTAGTAGAGTATTTTAAGAAATAATCTCAGGTGCCTCAAGATCAATGATCATTTCTTGAGTCAACATTGGGAGAGTTCAGCAACTTTGTTTTTGTTCCTGATTCACAGCATTGGCAGTTCTTTCAGTTTTTATTGGGAGAGTCTAGCCCAGAAAAGATCAACCAGGGTTCATCAGATATTTGTGCATTGAGTCACATAGACAATACATCACTCGAATTTCAAAATGGTGTGTTTTAGACAAACACCTTGTTTTTCACACATTCCAAAAATTGCCAGGCTCCTGTTACCCCTGGTCTCACCACATCCTATCTTCCCAGGTGCCATCCTATCTTCTTTTCTGAAGGCTGTGCTTTGTTCCTTGACTAAACTCAATTCCTTCGTCTCTCTTGATGTGGTACGGTCTCATCCTCACATTCCATTCCCAAATAAGGCGCTGGTTCAGCCACATTGCATGTTCAAAGAAACTTTGTCTGCTGTTATGTAATTTAACTGATTTTCATTTATTTGAGTCAATAAAATTAATCTTAAATGATTTGTATTATTATTGCTTATGAAGTTAACTAAAACTCTATCCCATTCTAATCCTAGCTGCGACTTCATGTCGATTTACAGATTAATTCAAGTCACACCCAAATTTCCCCTTAACATTGCTGTAGCAGGAAGAGATTGCAACTGCTTAGATAGGAATGGGGCCAAGTGAGTGCAGTCCCATTCACTTGAGATGTTATAGCAGGATGACATGGTCAACTACATCAAGACCTGCAGAAGGATAAGGAGTGAAAAGTTATCTTTGTTGCAATCACATAGGAACGTTGTGATGTTGATAAGAGCTGTTTACGTGCTACAGCGTAAGGGAACTCCAACTGGAAAAATTCAGACTTGTAGTTCCAGAAAGTGATATTTGGGGAACAACAGCATAGTCAAAACCTATGCTGCACATTTCTATAAAATTGCATTCAAACCACATATGTTGGAATTTCAATTAAGTAGACATTGGCAATATTGAATTTCGGAGGGGCTCCACTAGCATCATTCGTTGGTCCGTATTTTCCTCCACATTGGATAGTCAGCAACAGCTGTGATCTTTAGTGTCTCAATAAAATCTCAAAGTCTGGTTTCAGAAAGGCTGAATTATTTACGCAGTGGTCCCCTAAATCAAAAACAGAGATAATGTTACTTATTTTTCTTCCTTTTTTTTCAACCTTCCTGCCCAGAGGTTGTAACTCTTTTTCATTTAACGGATATCAGTACCCGTCCCAGGTATAGCACTTAACAAGAAGCATATTCAAATCACTTCATGGCATGAGTAAAGTGATTATAAAGCTGTATCAGATTGCGTGAAAACACATTCCATTGGTACATCTAGGGGTGGAGAGTGAAGAGATCAATTCTAACGGCCAGCTGCTGGACCAACTGGAACCTGATTCCAGCTAAGAGAAAGAACTATCGGGAGTCTGCAAGCTAAGGTGAAACTGAGAGAATGCCACCCAATAGTGAACTCCTGAGAGCTTTGTCTCTTTCTCTTCCTTCAGAAGCAAACAGAAGTAGGCAGAGGATCTAGTTAACCCAACCAACCTCCTATCTCCTGCCCCTTCCACCCTGACTCACCCTAAAAGGGTTAAACCGGATTTAAACTGATCAAAAATAGGGACTGAGCATAATCTTAAAATTAGAACTAGATCATCAGGAGTGAAATCAGATACAATCCTTCACAAAAATTGGGGTAGAAATCTGGGAACAGGGCGGGAATGGTCTTTTTTTATTCATTCACAGGATGAGGACATCACTGGCTAGGCCAGCATTTATTGCCTATCCCTAATTACCCAGAGGGCAGTCAAGAGTCAACTATATTGCTGTATGTCTGGAGTCACATGTAGGCCAAACGAGGTAAGGATGGCAGATTTCCTTCCCTAAAGGACATTAGTGAACCAGATGGGTTTTTCTGATATTTGGCAATGGATTCATGGTCATCATTAGACTCTTAATTCCAGAGTTTTATTCAAATTCCACCATCTGCCCTGGTGGGATTTAGCCCCGTATCCCCGGAACATAACCTGGGTCTTTGGATTAACGATCCAGTGATAATACCACTAGGCCATTACCTCCCCCTGCTCTTAGAGTTTTGAAGACTAAGATTAATTGATAAAAACCAAAAGAACTGCAGATGCTGTAAATCAGGAACAAAAACAAAGTTGCTGGAAAAGCTCAGCAGGTCCGGCAGCATCTGTGAAGGAGACGCTCCACAGATGCTGCCAGACCTGCTATGATTAATTGATGTTCTTTTGGGGATAAGGTATCAGTGGGGCATGGAGCAAACCTGAGCAAATAGAATTCAATCAACCAGTTGAATGACAGAACAGGACCAAAAGGGCTAGATAACCTTATCCATTCCTCTGTTCTGTCAAATTTTAGCCCCACCAGGTACAATAAAGTTGATAATGCTCTAGAATGTTCAAGGGCAGTCAGAGCCTAGTATTCAATCAATGATCTGTTCTACTTACATTTCCATGTGACAGTCACCATTCCTGAAAGAACAGGAAAAAAAATGAGTGAGTATGGTACATGACACACAGAACAATCAGATTCAATTCCCAGCCTGCCCGAGGTAGACATGGGCCCTGCCTCCTCACTTGGGGTTCTTTGATCTGACAGTACTGAGGGAATGCTGCCCTGTCAGCGGTGTCACCTGATAGCCACCCATACGACCACCGAAAGGCTACCTCCTAGGACCCATTGGGCTGTCTGATGTCAGGTATATCCTGGTGGAGTTGTACATGTTCCTCACAACTAATCAATATTGTGTTATGGGATCTCCACCAGTAGATGATGAGATGGTGAGATAGTGAGGGAGAGCAACTGGAACAGTTGAATACACATTACCCAGGGGGAAAAATAAGGTGTCTTTGTTGGATGGAGGACTTATGGGAAAGGGGAGCAAACTAACCAAGCAATTCTTAGCCCATTGTAATCCAGTGGCATGGTTCCATGTGCATACTGTAAATAGTTTCTTGTTCAACCTTAACTTCTCTTCCTGTTTGTAATGACCTAATATCAGAATAAAGACACCCTGCTTCATGATCTTTGGACCTTCCATGTGTTCAAATCACATTTGCATTTCTGGCATAGTCAGCAGAAGTAAACAGCACAGGCATCAAGTCAGAGTGAATGAAGTTGAGAAGCATCTGGCTGAAATGAAGCAGATGGTGGAAGAGTTCAAACTGAGTGGGTGACCATCTCCATTATTTAACCTCATCTGGCCAGACATGCTGATATGGACCCACATTGACCTACCAACCTAAAACCCAAAGTTTGCTACTAGTCTTGCTTTCACACCCAGGTCTTCAGAATTGAGAACTGCCACCTGTGACTGCAATAAAAAGAAACTTTTTCACTCAGAGGTTGGAATTCTCCCAGAGAGCTGTGAATGATCAGGTAGTAAATATATTCAAGACATGCTCAATAGATCGCTCTAACAAAATGAAGGAGTTTGAGAACAGAGAGGGGAGGTAGAGTTGAGGTAGAAGATCAACCATGTGCTTTCTGAATTGTGATGTAGGCTTGAGATGGTGAATGGCCTACTCCTGCTCTTACCTCTTACGTTCTTATTATATCAGTGAGCATACCATGGAGAATCTTACTAAAACACCACCTGCAAGAATACGTAATGGGCTATAAAGAGATTTAGGACACAGAGAAAGGTTTTGTATTAATGCAAGTTCTTTCTTTCTTTCTACCTACTGGTACATCTTTACTTACTCAAACACATCTGAAGTTGTCATGCGACGATAGAATTTGGCCAGCTTGACTGCAAAAATGATGCTTGGAACCAGGAATATAGTGCTCCAGCCCATACAAAACCAGAAAGCGTTCTATGAAAGACAATTAGATATCGTTAGTCCTCAATTCCATATCAATTCTACTATTGACAGAAAATCTGTGAATTTTCTTTTGTTCCTCTTGAACTCAGCTGCAGAGCCCCTACTCTCATGTCAAATTCTCAACTGAGCTCCCCGGCTTCAAAATCTGCATCACCATTTTCCACACCCTCTACACTGTCCTCATCAAACACTCCCAGGATGAGTATAGTACAAGATTACATACAGAGTAAAGCTCCCTATACACTCCCCGTCAAACACTCCCAAGATGGGTACAGCATGGGTTAGGTCTGGAGTAAAGCTCCCTATACATTGTCCCCATCAAACACTCCCAGAGCAAGGTCAGCATGGGGCTACATATAGAGTAAAGCTCCATATACACTGTCCCCATCAACAATTCCAAGATGTGTACAGCCTGGAGTTAGATAGAGCAAAGCTCCATCTACACTCTCCCCATCAATCACTCCCAGGATAGGTGCAGCACAGGGTTAGATACAAGGTAAAATTCACTACACACTGTCCCCATCAAACATTCCCAGCACAAGTGGAGCACAATGATAGATACAGGGAAAGTAAGCATGGTATAAAGTGTCAAGACTTGTTCCAAATAAAGGGGTTTTTAATCTGTAACAAAAATAGAAATTGCTGGTCTGTACAGCATCTGTGGAGAGAAAGCAGAGTTAACATTTTGGGTGGAGTGACACTCACGGAGCCAGAAATTGTTGATTCTGCTTTCTCTCCTCAGATGCTGCCAGACCTGTTGTTTCTACAGCAATTTTTGTTTTTCTTTTAGATTGCCAACATCCACAGTTGTTTGTTATATTTTAGGTTTTCTGTCTCTGTGCCTGAGATTTAATCTCATGTTGCTTCCAGGGAAACTGAGATCAATTCAGGCCTCAACTTTATCTTGCCCAATCCCCTTATCATGCCCCTTCCTCTTTTTTCACTACTATTATATTACCAATGAATCCAAAAGGTATGAACAAGCAATTATTGCTGCAGAATCCAGGACATCTGCTAGAGGTCTGCACCGAGCCATATTCTGTGTAATCTGTCAAAAAAAAATCATCTGTGAAAGCAAGCATTTTTCAGAGTCTGTATCATTCTCAGTAACCAATCCTCTACAAGTAAAATCAACAGTGTAACGAATTTCACATAATTTCTAGGTAATTCTCTCCCAAACACACATCACTCTGTGCAACGTACTTCCAGACATTTATCACACTGTGTACCCACTCCCAGACACACATCATTTGGTATAGTTCACTCCCACACACCCATCACACTGTGTAACCCACCCTCAGGCACACATCACTAGGTGTAACTTACTCCCAGACACGCATTACTTGGTGTAGGTTAGTCCCTGACACACATCACTTGTGTAATTCACTCCCAGACACCAGCATTTAACATAACTCACACCCAAACACCCATCAAAACTGAAACAACTATGGATGCTGTAAATCAGAAACAAAAACAGAAGTTGCTGGAAAAGCTCAGCGGATCTTCCAGCATCTGTGAAGAGAAATCAGAGTTAACATTTCGGGTCTGAGGAAGAGTCACTGGAGCCGAAATGTTAACTGTTTTCTCTTCACAGATGCTGCCAGACCTGCTGAGCTTTTCCAGCAACTTCTGTTTTTGTTCCAAACACCCAACACTAGGTGAAATTCATCTCTCAGTTTAATTCACAAGCATCCATATTCTTTCTTTCTCCCAGGTTTCTACTGCCTCTTATCAGAGTACAGTTAGCCACACAGTGCCGGTGTGGTTTGTATTTCTGACCTCAAAGATTTGTTTGCTGATGGCATGGGCCTTACCATTGTCTTGGTCCAATTCACATAGTAGCTGAAATATTCAAGCTGACAATCCAGAAAAATCTTGGATTCCTGTCATGATGAAAAATATGGTAGTTGCGTATTGATTTTTGTTGAAAAAAAGAATATTTTAGCTTCAACTTGAAAAGAGATTAATTCATCAACCTCTTCAGCCCAGGAGATGGTTAGTTGGAGACAGGAACTTGATTTGTCTCAAAACGTCTTGTCGTACTAAGGAAGTCACAATCTCAAGGTCATAGGATTAATAACTGCAGTGGTGCAGGTTTTATAAGTCAGTGTATACCTTAGAGGGTCAATCCATTGCATTGTGTGACCATAAGATATGGGAGCAGAAGTAGACTATTTGGCCCATCAAGTCTGCTCTGCCATTCAGTGAAATCATAACTGATATGATAATCTCAACTCTGCTTTCTTGCCTTTACCTCATAATACTTGATTATTTTATTTATCTATCTCAGCCTTAAACATACTTAACAATTCAACTTCAACAACCATCTACGGCACAAAAAAAATCCATTGATCCACATTGCAGTTTTTCTCTATCTAAATAATATTCAGCTCCTCTAAGCTTCCTGCCAAAGTGCATAATCTCACATTTTCCTACATCATATTCTATCCGACAGGTTTTGCTCAAATGTTTAACCTGTCTATATCCCTCTGCTGATAACTGTGTCTTCCTTACCACTTAGCTTCCCATTTATTTAAGGTCATGCACAAACTTGGACTGTAGTATATTCGCTTTTCTCGTAAAAAGTTAATAAAATACATTTGTAAATAATTGTGGCCCCAGCACTGCTCCTTGTGGCACTTGGCTAGTTATAATTTGCTATCCTGAAAATGCCCTCTTATCTGAATTCTGTCTTCTATTAGTTAGCCAATCCTTTATCTATCTATGCTAATACTACATCTGACACTATGGATCCTTGTCTTATTACACAGTTAAATGTATGCTACCTTTCCAAATATGTTCTAGAATTCCAAATATATTACATTTTTTGGTCATTTGTTGTTGATTTTTACAACTTTCCCAATTCCCCGGCTTACCACTAATCTTTGCCACATTGTATGTTTTAATTTCAATTTGGTGCTATCATTAACATCCCTGGTTAATGATGGTCAGTTTATCCCCTTATAGAATCCTTCTTTCTCATTAGGATAGATCTTTGTTGTGCTGAGCATGTCAGGTAGAGCTGCAAATTCTCTACTTCAATGATTAAACATCTTTGAACCAGGCTGACCAGAAATCCTCCTGCTTTCCATGCTGAGTTAACTCTTCCAAGGCAGAACCCTAGTTTGCCTCACAATCTCCTGCCCAGGGAAGGGCAAAGTGGCCAAATCAGGATCTCAGGCTTGTATTAAAAGGTAGATTTTGGCCTTTATCACTCTAGTTTCCGATGCCAGAGCTACATTTCAGGATGTGTGTGTGTAGGTGTTCAGTGGGTGTGATGCTCTTCATTGAGACAATGACTTTAATGGGCTCACCTCCTGACTATCCAAAGCCATTCCACCAGCTACAAGTTGTGATAAATATCAATGAGTCTAACCATGTCCCCCTTGACATTTAACGACATTACCATCCCTAAATCTCCTATTATCAACATCCTGGGGGGTCACCATTGACCAACTCCCCAATAATATAATTAAACAGCAGGTCTGAAACTGGGAATTCTACACCGAGTAACTCATCTCCTGACTCCCCAAAGCCTGTCCATCATCTTCAAGGCATTTGGAAATATGTAGTAGTAAAGAAACGAGTCTTAATTAACATAGGGATGAAAATGTGCAGCCGGACGTCCCTCTGCTCTGAGGCCAAAAGCTTCTATTTTGCTGCGCACGTATAATGCATTAGAATCAATCTGAATATCCCTTAAACAACAGGTCAGATTATCATTCCTGTGATCTGTCATTCATTTACTGCCTTGTGCAGATGCACTGTTGTGAAATCTGGACTCTGGAAACTTAAGTATCTAGCATGTTTTAAAGATCCAGACAATTTCAAAAAAATGACTCCCCGATGTAAGGGTTTCTTCCCATTATTCAGACTCTTCTCTATGGAGCAGCAGGTTTGACAATTGTTCAGTGTCCTCTGATAAAGAACCAAGCTCAAATATTGAGATTAACGGTGCTTCTTCACCTCTTGGCTCGATGTGCAAACCAAAGAAACAAAGAACCTTCTCTCTGTAATGGAGGGATGCTGGATGGTGCAGTGAGTCAGAGTATTTTCACCTGTAGGTATCAATCCAGCCACAAAGACAAACTCAAGAATTCCTGTTTACTTAAGAGCTTGTGTGGGAAGATCTTGTGTGAGGCCACTCTGTTTGACTATGCAATGGCCATATCATCCATTCACAAATATTTCAAATTAATTCAAACCTAATTTGCAGCATTCCATAGACACATATAATTGAACTTTTGTTCTGGAATCCTATACAAATCATTTTGTGATACTCACATTTTTAACAATGTCTGAGGCTTTTGTGTGGATCATAGTCTGTGCAGAATCTATCGTCAATAAGGTGATATTTACAATTACCTGAAGTAACATGTCAAATTATGGTCAGTATATGGAAGATAGTCACAGCATATAACACAATCAGTGCACAGGTATGTAACAAGAAATGCACACAAATCAATGCAGTTACATATAATAATCACTGTATAGAATAGTCATAATGCAGTCTACAAACAATACAGTAGATGTTGTAGACCTTAAGTATGAATAAATAATGAAATCTGTATACAAAACATTATGTACTTCCACACACATGGACAATATATTATCAGAAAGTCAATGTATACACAATAACTTGCATTTGTCACATGTTTCAATTTGATAAAAATTCCAAGACACTTCACAGAGCATAATCAGATAATAATGGGCATAGGAACAATTAAGAGTTAAGTCCTGATCGCCTTCAGTTCAAAACGCACAGTCCCAGTGTCCCTCTAAGTCTCTGTGTTCTGTCCAGAGAGATTCATAATGGAAAATCAAAGTGATGTGAAGGAAGGACTATCCTAGCGCTAGTGAAAGTGTACTAGTGAAAGCCTGCTGTTGAAGCTTCAAGACCCTGCACTATTTGTTGTAATTATCTGAAAATAGGGACTTGATTGTTAAAAAGGAATGGAAAATTTACATTTATATATAACATTTCATGACCAGTGGCCAACTCAAAGAGTTTTAAAGCCAATGAAGTAATTGTGAAATATAGTCACTACTGTAATATCCCAACAGTAATCGAGTAATCTCAAATGACTCAGAATTCTGTCATTTCTGACAATAAGGAAATGAATTCCAATTATTCAATGCTCTGGTCAGACGATTACTTGCACGCTCTGTCCGGTTCAGATGATTTGCCAGAGATTCCAACATTGCAGGCAGTGCAGAGAAGTGCTACAAGAAGTGATCCCCTGTCAAGCTGAATGTTATGAGGACATACTGCAGAAAATTGAATTTTTCAGTCTTGAAAAGTTTTGAGTAAGGTAGCCTGTCAGAGTATACATATATATCATGTAAAAGATAAATTTGGGAAATTACTGCACGCTGCCATATGGGAATGAGGAAAAAGAGGAAAAATTAGAAATTTTAATGAGGACATTTCTTGTGATGTAAATATTGATCAATGCATAGAAGGATTTAGGATGCAAAAACCCTGGAGTCATTTAACAAGCCTATTAAAATGCCAGGAAATGTGGACTGTCTGGATTGGTGAATTAAGATGGGCTAAGACTTCTTTAAACATTTTGTGATCAATGAACTTAACAATTTCATCATATTTAAGGTATTCAGGAATGAAGCCTTGATTACCCATCTGATGATGCAGCTTCATGACTCAGCTAGACATTTCTCTTTAATAGTTCAGGGAATGTAGATGTTGCTTGCCAAGTGAGCATGTATTGCCCATCCCTAATTACCTTTGCAAAGGTCTTCAGCTAATAGCTGAGCATCACAAACAAATCTCAAGCAATACATTAACCCAACTTGGACAATTCTGGGCTAGTGGAGGGTGGGAATGGCAGCAGCACTAAAGATAAGGAGTAAGGGAGAGTAGGAACTAGATCAAAAAAACAACACCTGGAAACTGCAACAAAATAGCTTCAAAATATGGTTTACCTCAATGTGTGAAGTGTTTCTCTGAAGATGTTCAATGTTTTCTTTCAATGTTTCCTATTAAAGCAGACACCAAACACAGTCAACAAAACCCATCGCATCATCATTCATTTTCTAACATACGAGACCAAATTTCTACCCTTTTTTTAACTGAGTTTTCCATCATTCAAGGCACTGACTCAATATTGGAGTTGTTTCAGAATCTCTTCAATAGCTCCTCCTTATGTCTGCTCTTCAGGTGTGAATCTAGACAGTGAAAGGGTAGGAGGTTGCGGAAAGTCCAATCCTCTCCTAATCCAATATCCATAAACATGTTCAATTTATCAGGGGTTACTGGATAATGATCCACAGGAATTTGATCTTTGGCTGACCTCCCACTCCTAAACCATAGGAACACAGGAATTACTGCATGAAAGAAAGTCTAAGACTTATCTGGTTCACAGTCAATCATTCCAACAGATAATAATGGAATTATTCAAAACAAACGAGCAACCTATAACAAACCTAGACGTGAGGTGAGGAAAACCCCCAAGTCGCTAAGAGATTTGGGAGCTATCGATCCAAAATCAACTATTCCTCCAAATTTTGTTACACCCACCACACATCATATCTCAAAGTCTTTGGATTCTGAAAATCCAACATGCTATTTTATGAAAGCAATCTAATTTACATCTGAATCAATCAATTTTATCTGCTTACATTGCCTCGGTCAAGAGCCAGATCTGTAGACTTTTTAAAATTCATTCATGGAAGGTGGGCATTGTTGGCACAGGAACATAAGAAGATAGGAACAGGATTAGGCCATTCAGTCCATCAATCCTGCCATGCCATTGAATACGATCAGGGTTGATGGAATACTTCAATACCTTTAGTAATCAAAAATCTATCAATTTCTACCTTAAAACATATTCAGAGATTGAGCTTCCAAAGTCCTCTGTGCAGAGAATTCCAATGGCTCACAACCCTCTGAGTAAAAGTATTTCTCATCATTTCAAACCTAAGTGCCATCCCCCTTATCTTTAAATTGTGCCACCCGGTTCTAGACTCCGCAACCAGGAAAGCGTCTTACCCCTGTCTATCCCTATAAGTACTTTCTAAGTTTCAATGAGATCAGCTCTCATTCTTAAAAATTCTGGAGAATACAAGGACCAGTTTGCCCAATCTCTCCTCATAAGACAGTCCTGCCATACCAGGAACAAGTCTGCTAAACCTTTGTTACACCCCCGATTTGGCAATAATATTTTTCCCGAGATGAGTAGCCCAAAGTTCTACACAGTAGTCCGGGTGCAATCTAACCAAGCTTCTAAACAATTGAAGCAAGACTTCACCATTCCTGTTCTCAAACCCTCTTGCAATAAAGTATCACATTCAATTAGCCTTCCTAATAGCTGGCTGCACATACATGCTAGCTTTCAGTGAAGGGCCGGTAAGTTTCCACCCAATCTTTAGATTAGTTCTGAGTTCACCCCTGTTTGACATGCAGACTGTTCCTCTGGATCTAATGTTCTGGACAAGCCAAAACAATTGTTTGTGCTTTACATAATCCTGTCCGTTTGGAATTTGACAAAAGGTAAGTACACTTTCACTCAACCTTCAATTTGATGCCGAGAACATGCTCCAGAGACTCTGCAATTTCCATCTAATTTGAGGTAAATAGGTTCAAATGGCAAATGTAGCCCTTTTATAAATAGAATCTGGCATAATGCAAGCGTTAAAAATCAGAAACAAAAACAGAATGTGCTAGAAATACTTAGCAGGGAATTAACCACCTGTAAGGAGACTAGAGGAGTTAATGGTTTGGGTGTACTGAAAGATTGATGGTGATGTGTTATAGTTCACTCAGGGAGCCTGAGTTACTTTGGTAATATACATCTTTATCAGTATGCTGTAGTCTGGTGCTTTGGATAGTGATGGCAGAGGTTCCAACATCTTTTCTCTCACATGACTGATCAGGAATCTCTCCCACTATTACCATTTGCAATTAATGTGAGTTGGATGGATTGTCTCCTCGGTTTTCCACAACTCCTAACTGACTTGCTGAACATTTCTAGTACTCTCTGTTTCTGTTTAAAGTGCAACGACTTGCTCACATGAGAGGCTTTCCTCTCTTCACTTTGGCTACTGTTGTTCAAGGCTCAGTGGAGATGAGATATAGGAAGCTATCTTCTTGCAATCCCTGGTGACCCAATAGCACTTCACAGTGTCAAAGGAGTACCTAACTGGGTCTTTTACAATACAGTGGAATAAAGTGAAAACAGTGACTTTAACTCTTTTATGACAGCAATCTGCTTTTACATAGCACCTTTAGCAAAGAAAATTACCCCAAGGTGCTTTACAGGAATAATACCAGTTAAAAACTGACACTGAATCAAACAAGGAGACATAAGTCAAATGACCAAAATCTCAGTCCAAGTGGTAGATTTTAGGAAATGACTTAAAAGAAAAGAGAGAAGTAAACAAACTGTGAGGTTTATGGATTTACAGAACTTAGGTCCTCAACAATTGAAGACATGGCTTCCTGTAGTGGAGACATTAAAATAAGAGGCCAGAATTGGCATTTTGTGGAGCAGGAGTAGATGACAGAGATAGAGAGTAGTGAGGTTATGGAAGATTTGTAGGTAAGGATGAGAATTTTAAATGCTAGACATTGTATGCTGGAAGCCAACATTAAGTCAATGAGCATGAGGATAAGGGGTAAACATAGCCAGCAGAGTTTTGGATGAACTCAAGTTCAGATAGCACAGAAAATGGGAGACTGGCCAGGAGAGCATCGGAATAGTCAGGCCTACACTGTGAAATGGCTTCACAGTTTCCAGAAAGAGAGACTGAGAATACGGTGAGGAAGTCAGTATGATGGGTACAGCATCAATGGATTAGTTTCTTGAGCTTAATTGGGTTTGTTTCCTTCTCCTTGACATTTCAGACCTTTACAAGTTTCCCATCTTTATTGCTCAAGTGTTGAACTATCATTATGATGCTGTGATTATAATGAAATATGTGAACACATCCAAGTTAAAACTTACAATGTTTGGCACCATGTTGGTCTGGATCCAGCTGTTCAAGTCATTCAGGCTTGCTGCCTCTTTGTTCAGTTCAGTTTTGACTGGGTCCATCTATAAGATAATAAATTACTATGTGTTAATATGCATATCTTTGGGATGGCAGCAGTCTCCCAGTCAGAGGTAGATGTCCACTCAGGTTGGTGTGTTTCTGCCCATGTGTCTTCATGTCATATACACTAGGTAGCTGTTGACAGTTGTATCATTAAGTGATGATGTTTGAGCTCGTTAAGGTGTGCACTCATTAGCATTGAGCAATGATGAGTTTTCCTATTTCAGAGACCCAGGTTTGATTGGATAAAGCATACCTTCTTTGTCAAACACTGCAAGGTCTGGTAGATTGTGGGCCTGATACCAAGTAAATGTCCCTTATGCTGTCCAGTCTAAGGTTGCTGATTTTTGGTGACACATTCTCAGGTGTGGACTTTGCTGACTAACCCTGTGAAGGTGGTGATGGCCCTTCTTCTGAAAGCATTGGTAATGATTTGGTACAATTGAGTGTCTCTCTAGGTCATTTGACAGGGCAATTAAGAGGCACAATATATAAGCCTAGAATGATAAGATAACAACATTTTCTTCCAGCAAGGACAGTAATGTATATTTGAGCTATTAGAACAGTATGACTTCACTTTTACTAATACCAGTTTCTTTATTTAAATATAATTCAATTCTCAAAATACAATGATCAAATTTGAACTCGTGTTCTCTAGAGTCCAAGATTTTGAATTCCTAGCCCACTAACACAATCACTACACTACTGTACTCAAGCATTTTCTGCTTAGATGTATTCCAAGAAGCTTCATTACATGACCCCCACCAACTCTAATTGTTCCACCACCCCCCAACATTCCCACTTTGGCTACACAATATTTCCATTCTTGAAGAGGTTTAGGAGCTAGCTGAGGCAGGAATGGGCAAATGAATGGATGACCTACCTCACTGTTGTTGGTTCTTGTAAGAAGAGCCTCAAAAGATTCTAACAGCCTGAATTGGATCCTGCACTGCCCTCTTCCTGCTCTTTAATTTGTCACTGGTAGAATCCTGGGATAGTGACTAACTTTACAGCTTCTTTTATGCACTTTACTGGCATCTCCCAATGCAAGTTGCCTTTTTCAATGTTTATAATGACAGAAAGCATTGCAGCCTGCATTATTCCTTCTATTAAAGAAGGAGGACAATGGTATGACTGCAATTTAAATTGAACTGTCTAGTTTTGGGGAAGACAAATATTTGGGACGTTTTTGTGAATTTAAATATAAAGTAAAAAGAAGAAAGGATTCCTTCATACAGCACCTTTCACAATCACATGATATCGCAAAGTGTTTTAGACAATTACATAATTTTTAAAGTGTAGCAGTTGGATGTAGTAAACTTATCAGTCAGTTTGTGCACAGCAAGATCCCACAAACAGAATACCGTAATGACTAGACAATCTGTTAGTGATTTTGTTAGAAGGATTAATATTGGCCAAAATATCATGGATCATCCTTAGCCTTCTTCATAGTGTCACTGGGTATTTTACATAAAACTGAGAAGGCAGACAGAGTGTTGAATTAACATCTCACTTGAAACACAGTATTTCCTACAGACCAACACTCCTTGAATAATGCACTGCAAGAGTTAGCCTGGACTTTGTACTCCATTCTCTGGCATGTGACTCGGGCTAATATAGAGATATTCTGTAGAGATATTCCATGGAGTTATATACCATGGTGATAGTCAGTATCGAACCAGCCCTATCAGTTTCACCTCAATTAAGATGAAACTTGACAAAATAAAATACAGTTAAAAAGACATCCGAAACGTGTGTCACTTCTGCTTTCTGGCACGAGTTGATTACAACTGAACTTACCGTACTCTTTGAGAAATTTTGTAATTTCCCCACAGTGATGTGCAGTTCCGGCTGAAATAATGGCATCTCCAGCTGAAAAACAGCAAATGGAAAACAAAATGGATACCATCTAGAATCTAACACAATATTATTACATAACAACTCTAATTGTTCTACCCCAACCACGTTCCCACTTTCGCTACTTGATATTTCTCCAGCATGTCTTCCACAATGCTAACTCTAGCAGAAGTTGTTGGACGGTTGTTGGGGTGCTAGGGTCCAGCGCCAGGGGTCAGTGGCTTGCAAGGCCAGCCAGACCATGTGTGGAAGCCCCTGCGCTGAGCTACTGCAATATATTGTTTATCTATAATCTGTTCTTCTGAGTGTAATGTTTGTCCTTTTAACTGTGTCTTATTTCTAACTTGTACTATGAATCAGTGTCAGGTAATGCAACTACTTCTTTATTCGTGTTTTTGTGTCTAAGATTTGTATCTAGGTAGTTTGTATCTAATGAGAGATGACATTGTAAACTTTTCACTGTACTCCTGTACTTCTGTATGTGTGACAACAAAACCTAATTCTAATTCTAATTGTAAAATCATATTTGCCAGGTGAACATATACCCAGGTTAAAGTGATGAATGTGAGAGACAACTCCAAGAAAGTTCTTGGTAGTAATTGTCCCCTGATAATAATTCTAAACAAATAAGGTGGAATCAGTGGATACAAATTCAGTAGATTGTAGGTGGGCACTTCACTATGGAAGTGACCAGTTTAATTTTGAAAGAACACCCAAACGTTCGTGGCTAAATATTGGGAAAAAAAATAAAAACTTGCATTTCCATGGTACCTTTCATAATCTTGGGATGTGCCAAATATTTTATAACTGGTGAGGTCTTTTTTGAGGTGTAGTCTCTGTTGTAATGGAGGAAACAACTTTTGCACAGCAAGATCCCACAAACAGAAATAAGCCACATGATCAGGAATGTAGGCCTCACTGGGGAAAGGACAGCATTTACTAACAATTCCTTGTTGCCCTTAGAATGAGTTAAACCAGTGTTGTCCTTCATGGTTTGATTCAACTACCCACAAGACCACTTCTGAGGACAGTTAAAAGTCAACCACATTCGGTTACACACAGGCCTAGACAAAGTAAGGATGGAGGTTTCCTCCCCTAAGAGAGAAATTGGTCAGTTGGGATTTCTCTGACAATCTAACAGCTTCATAATCACTTCTTTTTTATTATTTTCTATTTCAATAGCTTGTTTACTTCAATACAAATTTTCAAACTGCCCATGTTGATGGAGTTTGAATTAATAAACTATGTATTGTTATCCAGTTCTTTGAATGACTAGCTCGGTAACAGTACCACTTCACAAGTCAGTGCATGAAGAAACAGGTTTACCTGCTCAGAGATGCTAGTAAAATTTAGATAATCGATTCCAGTGTTTAAGAAATCTTTCAGAGTCGTCCTGCCCTTCTGATCCAGCAGTGTAATTCCTGATAAATTGACATTCAGTTTATCAAATGTACTTGATAGGTCCCCTGTATACTGAGAAAAATAAGATATCAATAATTTATATAGGATAAAAGGAGTATGATTTGGGTGACCATTTTTTTTAATAGAATCCCTACAGTGTGGAAACAGGCCCTTCAGCCCAACAAGTCCACACTGACCCTCAGAACATCCCACCCAGACCCAGACCCATCCCCCTAATCTACACATCTCTGAACCCTATGGACAATTTAGCATGGCCAGTCCACCTACCCTGCACATCTTTGGACTGTGGGAGGAAACCGGAGCACCCGGAGGAAACCCACGCAGACATGGGGAGAATGTGCAGACTCCACACAGACAGTCACCCGAGGGTGGAATCGAACCCACGTCCCTGTCGCTGTGAGGCAGCAGTGCTAACTTCTTGGACTACTATAAAACTTAAACCATCATGGAACAAAATAATCTGGTCTCTTGGGTCAACTACTCCCAAAGCCCATGTACAATCTCTCCATCAGGGAATCTCTGACCCAGTTATCTTCTCCCACCAGTCCAAGTGCAGTACCATTCTGTTTTTGGTCGATAAACAGGAGAGAATAGCAGAGAGAACCCTCTACCATGTTAAGATGAGAAAAACAGTCTGATCTTCCGGAAATCAGGCATCTATTTATTTGCTGGCTGGTTTTCCATTGGATCCCAGTGGAAGAAGTCCCAGCTGTCAAGAGCTGCTGGATGATCAGGGCTCGCTGTTGGTTGAGCACTTCCAGGATTCCCAGTGAAAGGGTGACCACAGGATAGGGGAGGGTTAATGGGCGTGGGTATGGGTAAATTTGTGGGGTGGAAGCTGCAGGGAGACGTGGGCCTTGGGGTTTGAAAGCAAGGGCAGGAGGGAGGCTCTTGGTAGCCACCTCACTGACCTATGCCAGACCCTCTCTTGTTCATGAACTAGGGTCTCTCATCTCACCTGGAGCTGAAGTAATTGCAGTCCAGGTGGGAATAGGCTTTTGGGTGATAACAACTTAACCAGTTAAGGACCTCAATTAGCAATGGGGCAGGAAGGCCAAGCTTGGAGCTCAGGCCGGACTGGGAAGTAGGCAGGTCTCTGGGATGCCACTATCCTGACTCATTAAGTTCCCTTCTGAAATATAGACTCACTACCTCTGGGACCAGAACATTGTGCACAAGCCTATGTCTATGTCCTCTTGAACCTGCCTCCACCACAGTTCCAGGCGATGCATTCCAGACCCAAACTATTCACTGTGTGAAAAAGTTGTTTTCTCATCTCACATTTGCTTCTTTTGCAAATCATTTTAAATCTGGGAACCCTGCAGCCCAATGGTATCAATGTGGATTTCACAAGTTTCAAAATCTCCCCTCCCCCTACCGCATCCCAAAACCAGTCCAGCTCGTCCCTGCCTCCCTAACCTGTTCTTCCTCCCACCTCAAGCCGCACCTCCATCTCCTACCGACCAACCTCATCCCGCCCCCTTGACCTGTCCGTCCTCCCTGGACTGACCTATCCCCTTCCTAACTCCCTACCTACACTCACCTTTACTGGCTCCATCCCCGCCTCTTCGACCTGTTTGTTTCCTCTCCACCTATCCTCTCCTCTATCCCTCTTCTATCCGCCTCCCACTCTCTCCCTATTTATTTCAAAACCCCCTTCCCCTCCCCCTTTTCTGATGAAGGGTCTAGGCCCGAAACGTCAGCCTCTCTGCTCCTATGATGCTGCTTGGCCTGCTGTGTTCATCCAGCCCTGCACCTTGTTGTCTCGGATTCTCCAGCATCTGCAGTTCCTACTATCTCTGATTAAATACTTCTGAATTGTATTTATTATCACATGTAGGAAAAGCAGCAACAGATTTACACAAAGCAAAGCTCCAACAGTGAGAATGACCTGATATCTGCACTTCTGTGTCTTCAAAGGCAAGATAGTGGTCCAGTAAACTGGGGAAAACTATCCTGTTTTTCTTCAGATTAGTGCCATGAGAGGCTTAACTCCCCTATGGCATGACCTCAGTTTAAAATTTCAGGCAAAAGACAGCATCAGTTCTAAAATGCAGTTCTTCCTCAGCCTAATTTGCACAGTCAAGTGCCTAGTATGAGGCTGAAACCTTCAAATCTTTGAGATAGAGACAGGCATACTGCGAACTAAGTAATAGTTCACAGCTAACCGGTCTTTGGATGCAGCACTACGCAACCCACGTACAGCCTTCGTACTGCAAATATTTCTGCTTCATGTATGTCAGGACTTTACAGTAACGCTTGGATAAAAGAATCAGGGAACCAAAAGAAATATAGAAATAGTCCATGCCCCCCTGCTTCCAATGCTGACACAATTCCTTTAGAATTCTATGGCGACAGTTCCTCTCCCTCAACTTTTAAACAGATTTATCATTGGCATATGAGATGGATTTGAGTTCCTGATCTCCCTCACGGTGAGTTCCCTATCTCAATTATACTCTCTGGCCTTGAAAATTGTAAAATAGGAGGCAGAGAATCCCAAAGGAAAGGGGTGTGTCAGGTTGCCACTGAGACATGTGGACCTTCTGGCACACATGGAGAAAACAGATTCAGTAGCTCCCAGTGTATTAGTCTCTGACTGTGAGAACACTACTTCAGCAGCAAAAAAATACATTCTGCTTCTCCCCACTGAACAAGTAATTTCTCAATGCTCCTTACCTTGTTGCATGCCAGGCCTTTATATCTAAAAGAACATTTTCAGTGTTTTATAAATCCATTCACAAGATATGGTGTCACTGTCCAGGCCAGTATTTGCCCAGAGGGCAATTAAGAGTCAGCCATATTGCTCTGGGTCCACGGTCACAAATACGTCAGACCAGGTAAGGACAGTAGTTACCTTCCCCAAAGGGTATTAGTGAATCAGATGGGATTTTAACAACAATGGTTTCATGGTCACCATTAGACTAATAACTCGATACTTTTAAAAAAATGTATTAATTCAATTCCACGTCATGGTACGGTTTGAACCCAGGTACCCAGAACATGACCATGGTCTTTAGATTAATAGTCTAAACACTAGGGTATCACCTCCAGTCCACAGTTGTACTGTGATTTCTGGGATGGGTCTGTTCCCATAGCCTTTCCTTTATTTGAGAGTAAGAAATAAGTGGGAAGATGGGGAACACTATTTTAAAAAATGAGAGTTCAACCAGTTGAGATGGAGATGAGGAAGTAAACTATATAAACACAGAAACAGTAACAGGAAATGTCCGATGCTTTCTCTAGGCAATGCACTATTAAAAGGACCAGTTACTGCTACAAACAGGCACTACATGGACAGTCAAGAAAAACCAGAGGGCACTGAAATAACTCCACAGAGACCAGTATCATGACACCAAGTCACCCTTTATTTACACGTGGACAGCCCTTGTCACTGATCCAGTTCCCTCAGAGCCAGCTCTCAGAGCAAACAGGATGTCTGACACTCCTGTTCTTATCTGTCAGCCAGGGCTCCCTGATTGGGCCAGATTAACAGCCCCAATCAGGGAACTCGTATTCTGTAAGGCCACCTGGTTGACCTTGTCATCATCACTACAGGTATATTTGTAAAGATCCTATGGTTTGTCCAGCCTGTCTCCATTCAATTCCTATCAACCTGACTTAAGACCATGTGATCTCCTGGGAGAGATGAAAATCTGGGCTGAATTTAAGAAAAGGAAGTCTGGAAAATTCCTCTCTGACTCCCTTAGCTGATCAAAATTAGTCTAGGAAACCAATCTAGCCCAAAACAAGATAGCAGTCAGGAATGAGAACCCTGGCTGATCTAGGATCCAATCTACAAAGTGGAGCCCTGCTGCAGTTAATTAACACCACATAGTATCCCCTGGTTTATTCCATATGCCAGATAGTCACACCGATCTACTGGTGACAGGTTGGAACAGTGTAAATTTGTGATCTTGTGCTGCCTCGGACAATTGTGGATGCTCCATCATTAAATATATTTAAGGTTATGATACACAGATTTTTGTTCTCTCAGGGAATTCAGGACTATGGGAAATGAGCAGGAAAACGGAGTTGAAGCAGTAGATCGTTATTGATTGTCTTGACAGGTGGAGGGGCCCCAAGGGCCTGTATGAGCTACCCGTCCTATTTCTCACGTTCTTATGTGCAAAGACCATCAGAAAACTGACCCTCCGAAGACAAATTCCAAACTCATACAGTCATACAGTTTGCAATAACTGAGCCAAGTTTATATTCAGCATTAGCCCAAAATTATCAAAACAACTGAACTTGGCTAACACCCAACTGGTTGCTGACTTACCTTACTCAGGTTCAAATATTCATCCAGGTTGAAGTTCTTCCCTAGTTGCAAGGCCTTCCATGCAGATTTGTTGTTTTGGCAGTCACTGTATGAAAAAAAAGGAGTTCAGTGTGCAAGTGGTCACCAAGATAGCATACAGAGTCCTGAGTTTTATACACAGAGGCATTGCGTACAAAAGCCAGGAGGTTATGTTCAATTATTTGAGAAAAACACTAATTTGGCCCAGTGAGTATGCTGTTTTCTTTTCTGGATATGACACTTCATGAAAAACATGAAGGACAAGAGTTTCCCCACGGCTTCAAGGGTCCCATCATCATCATAAGCGCCAGAGCTTGCAATATGTCAAGAAGCGTTATCCAGCTGTGATTTTCCTTGAACTGGCCAATTAATGGCCAGCAGGAGAACTCACTGTCCAATTGAGGCACCGGGTGAGCCATCAAGGTTGGAAATTCAGCTGCAGGAGTAATCCCACCCCCACCCTCCAAGCTAGGAAGATGCAGCAGCCTGTCTTTTCCAGTCAGAGAGAATGCCCTAGGTGGAGGCACTCTCCCTCCAACTTTTACACTGAAATACAGAACTTGTCAGTCAGGCCACCATAATGAAAATGGTATCTCCTGCACAGAGGATCTGAAGCCAAAGTCAGGTGGACAGAGAGGGTCTGCCTGCAGCACTGAGGCTGTGTCAGCCCCTGGGAAGCAGCCTCCAGATATCTCGGCTGTTCAATCAGATAGGTGTTGATCTGTAACCTAACTGAATGTTTGCCCCACCTGTATTTGTATTTTAACATCTGTACTTTAAACTATGAATCTGGTTAACATTCTAATAATGATCATTTCCAGTAGGAAAGAATCAAACTATCACCTCTTAATATTCAATAGCATTAGCATCACTGAATTCCCCACTGTCAACATTCTGGGGTTACCATTGACCAGAAACTGAACTGGAACTAGTCACATAAATACTAAGGCTACAAGAGCAGATCAGAGGCTTGGTGTGGAGCTGGATGAACACAGCAGGCCAGGCAGCATCAGAGGAGCAGGAAAGCTGACGTTTCGGGTCAGGACCCATCTTCTGAAGGGTCTTCTGAAGAAGAGTTCAGACACAAAACGTCAGCTTTCCTGCTCCTCTGATGCTGCTTGGCCTGCTGTGTTCATCCACCTCCACACCTTGTTATCTCAGACTCCAGCATCGGCAGTTCCTACTATCCCAGATCAGATGCTTGATTCCTTGCAGAAAGTAACCCTCCTTCTGATTCCCCAAAGCCTGATAACCATCTACAAGGCACAAGTCAGGAGTGTGATGGAAAACTCCTCACTTGCCTGAATGAGCGCAGCTCCGACAACACTTAAGAAGCTTGACATCATTTAGGTCAAAGCAACGCACTTGATTGGCACTACACCCACAAATATTCACTCCCACCACCATCGATTATTCAGGAGAAGCAATGTGTATCATCGGCAAGATGAACTGTAGAAATTCACCAAGGCTCCTTGGACAGTGCCTTCTAGACCCACAACCACTTACATCTAGAAGGACTAGGGCAGCAGATACATGGGAACACCCCACAAGTTCCCCTCCAAGATACACACCATCCTGACTTGGAAATATATCGCTATTCCTTCACTGTCAAAATCCTGGACGTTCCTTCTGAGAGAGCATAGTGGGTCTATCTACATCAAATGGATTGTAGTAATTTAAAAGGGCTGCTCACCATTAACTTGTCAAGGGCAAAAGGGGATGGGAAGTAAACATCACAACATCACATGAAATAATAAGAAAAAGCACTGGATGTGTGTTGTTGGTTGAGGATAGATATTGGTCAAGACACAAGGGATAACAACCCTACTTTTTTTCAAAATAGAGTCATGGAATCTTTTACACCCACCTGAACAGGCAGATGGAGTCTGCTAAATAAGAGGCCATGGCATTAGGGGCAAGCTACTGGCATGGATAGAGGATTGGCTGACTGGCAGAAGGCAAAGTGTGGGGATAAAGGGGTCTTTTTCAGTATGGTAGCCGATGAAGAGAGAAGTTCCACAGGGGTTACTGTTTGGACCACAACTATCCATGTTACACATTAATGATCTGGACAAAGTTGCTGAGGGCTTTGTCGTTAAGTTTATGGATGACACAGAGATAAGTGGAGGGACAGGTGGTGTTGAGGAGGCAGGGAGGCTGCAGAAGGACTTAAACAGGCTAGGAGTGTGGGCAAAGAAGTGGCAGATGGAATACAATGTGGGAAAGTGTGAGGTTATGCACTTTGGTAGGAATAATAGAGCCATAGACTCTTTTCTAAATGGGGAAAGGCTTTGGAAATCTGAAGCACAAAAGGACTTAGGAGTCCTTGTTCGTGATTAAGGTTAACATGCAGGTTCATTTGGCAATTGGGAAGGCAAATGCAATATTTGCATTCGTTTCTGGAGGGCTAGAAAACAAAAGCAGAGATGTACTGCTGAGGCTGTATAAGGCTGTTCAGACTGCATTTGGAATATTGTGAGCAGTTTTGGGTCCCATATCTAAGAAAGGATGGAGGGTTCAGGTGAGGTTTACAAGAATGACCCCAGGGATGAAGGGCTTGTCATATGAGGAGCAGTTGAGGACTCTGGGTCTGTACTTAACTATGTTTAGAAGGATGACGGGGTAGGATCTGATTGAAACTTACAGAATACTGAGAAGCCTGGATACAGTGGGCGTGGAGAAGACATTTAAAGTTTTGGCAAAGATCTGTAGCTCGGGTTGTGGGTGAGGTTGTTGACTTGCTCGCTGAGCTGGCTCGTTCTTATTCAGACGTTTTGTCACCATGCTAGGTGACATCATCAGCGGAGCCGCTGATGAAGCGATGTTATTCTACTCCACTTGGAATTTATACAGTATAAGAGATAGGAGAGGTAAGTTTTCTTACACAGTGAATGGTAAGTGCCTGGAATGCACTGCCAGAGGAGGTCGTAGAAGCAGATACAATAGCAATGTTTAAAAGACATCTTGAGAGCTACGTAAATTGGAAGGGAATAGAGGGATATGGTTTTAGTTTAGAAAGGCAGCATGTGTTAGCACAGCTTTGGTGGGCTGAAATGCCTGTTCCTGTGCTTTGTTCTTTATTCTTAGGGCTAAAGGGCTGAATGGCCTAACCCTTCATCTTGCTAAGATGTATGAAGACCATATAATCTGGCAGAGACCCATAAAACATTTGCAGTCAAATTAACATTGTGTTTGAAACAGTATTCCTTTAAGTATAAGATTTATAATTATTTTTTCACCAGAAGGTTTAACAGAGTCAAATTGTCTCACTCTGGAAAAAATTATATAAAGTTGTCTATTTGTAAATCAAGACTAGAAATATAAATACAAATTTGTCACAAGTCTGGCCCTGTGACTTGTTTATAGACATCTAAGATGAAAGTCTAATTGAGAAGTATTTTTTCCTGAGCTTTAAAGGCAGGTTTATATCTTATGGGCTCACTTATTCAGGATATAAACATTTTAATTCCTCCAAATCTACCCGTTATAATGTTAGCATTTATCATCTAAGAAAACAATTTCTTAACTGTTCTTGTTCTATTACAATGCCCTTGTTTAGGATTCAAGTTTCATGTGAACATTATAACTGCTCCTTCCTGGAGTCCACATTTCTATAGTGCCATGGCCACTGGAGTTAGACTGTATAGAAACTCTGATGGGATTAGACTCATTGTCTGCTTCATCTGTAAAATCAACACTTGTGTGCTCTTTCAAATCAGCACGCAGCTTTTCTCAAACCATATAATTGAAGTCTTATGACCCCTAATCTTCAGTTTTCATATAATAGGTTTTATTAAATAACTTCCAATCATTTTGCTACACTTAATCAAATCCGTCGTCATGGAGTCTGGATCTATGTAGAAAGGATGTTTCCTCTTGTGGGAGACTCTAGAACTAGGAGCCACTGGTTAAAAAGAGAATGTGGCCTATGTAAGAGAGATGAGGAGAGGTTTCTTCTCACAGATGGTTGAGAGTCTTTGGAACTCTCTCCCCCAAAAGGAACGTGTTTGAATATTTTTAAAGGCAGAGGTAGTTAGTTTCTTAGTAAGCAAGGGGGTGAAATGTTATTGGGGTTAGTGGGAAGTGTGGAACAATCAAATCAGCCTTAATCTTATTAAATGGTGGAGCTGGCTTGAAGGGCAGAGTGCTATATTCCCACCCCTAAATTCTATGTTTATATGTACCTCATCCACCTATCACATGGCACCCGTCTCCCCCATTCCATTCCACCCCATTTCAATCCCAATCCTGTCTTGCCATCTCTCCCCATGCCATCCTTCTTGGAAACAATCCTTCCCACCAGAGTAACTTTGTTACTGGACACCCTTTATCCTCCCCTCCACAAACCAGCTCAGCCCACTGCCTTAACACTAACCACTGGCAACTGTACTTACATCACCAGCTTTAGCTCCTCAGTGCCACAGACACCAAGCACTGCCCCAGAAAACAAACCAACCCACACCCTTTAAACTAACCAATCAAAAACAACTGGACTGACGAAAGGTGAGTATTATTATTACAGATTTTTCTGAGAATTGAGAAGAGGAAGATAAAGGATGCATACAATTCACTGAGAACTTGTATAAATTAGAGCACTAATTCCCAGAATCATTTTTTTTCCTTTAATCCCTCCACTGTCACCACAGGGAACAGAACTTCACTGAAAGCAGTGGTAGCAGCAGTAGAAGCAGTTCCAGCACGAGCAGTAGCAGTGGCAGTAGTAGCAGAGATAGCAGCAGTAGCACTAGAAATTCCATGATCCTATACAGCAACATTGCGGGGGGTGGGGGTGCGGATCCAAACATAGTTTTAACTCTATGTGCTTGAGGCTTTTTCTGGTGCAGTGGTAGTGTCCCTACCCCAGAGCCAGAAGGCCTCAGTTCAAGGCTTCCTGTCCCAGAAGGTCAGAGAGTCATAGAGTCATATAGCACAGAAACAGACCCTTCGATCCAACTCATCCATGACGACTAAGTTTCCCAAACTAAACTAGTCCCTTTGCCTGTATTTGACACATATCCCTCTAAATATTTCCTATTCATGAACCTGTCCAAATGTCTTTTAAATATTGTAATGGTACCTGCATCTACTGCTTTCCCTGGCACATAGAACCACCCTCTGAGTGAAAATGTTGTCCCTCAGGTCCCTTTTAAATCTTTTTCCTCTAATCTTAAAAATGTGCGCTCTAGTTTTGAACTCCCCTTCCCTAGGGAAAAGACAAATGCTATTCGCCTTAACCATGTCCCTCATGATTTTATAGAAGTCTATGAGGTCATCCCTCAACCTCCTACACTCCAGTAAAAAAAATCCCAGCCTATCCAGTCTCTTATAATTCAAACCCTCCAATCCAGGTAACATCCTTATAAATCTTTTCTGAACCCTCTCCAATTTAATAATATCCTTCCTATAGCAGAGCGACCACAACTGTACACAATACTCCAAAAGTGGCCTCACTAATGTCCTGTACAACCGCAACTCTTATACTTAATGGCCTGAGCAATGAAGGGAAGCATGTCAGTGCCTTCTTTACCACCCTGTCTACCTCTGACGCAACTTTCAAGGAATTATGTACCTGAACGCCTAGGTCTCTCTGTTCTACCACACGCCCCAAGGCCCTACCATTAGCTGTGCAAGTTCTGCCCTTGTTTGTCTGATGGGTAATGACATCTCTGAACAGGTCGATAAACAAAAACAAGACTATGATGCTGTGATTGGTTTGATGGTCTCCAATCCTTATTAACCCCAGAAACTCTGGTAAAACACCACAGTTTGCGGTAAATAGGGGGATAATTCAGATGCAACTCCAGTTCTAATTTTAAAGGAATGCTCACTCACTTGTAGGTATTCTTGATGCTCAGGGAGGTATTCTTCAATCCAAGTATCTCTGCCAGGTTAAAGTCAGCCATCAGCCCTGAGCTTTCAATTACCTGCACCAGAAGAGAGGAGTATTCAGGTATCAGACAGTTTCAGTACATTTCTTTCCCCAGTCTGTGCCTGTCTCAGAATAATCTCCTGCACACAGCGCTGTACACAACAAGGTGAAAGAATGGATTGGCTTCTTTCTGCTAATCCTGTCCTATCATTCTGATGATCAGCAGCCCCATTACTCTCTCTTCCACGCCCCCCATCAACCTCTTTCATCCAACTCTTTCAAATTTATCGGGCTGCTCTTTATTCGGCTCTGTGTACAACGTCACCTTTTTGTAAGAATAAATACCGTAACTGAGTCACAAAGAGGGGAGACAATATCACACTTAGTGATTGTGTGAAATAAATAATATCAGAGAATCCTGAACTCAATGGAAATGAAATTCAGGTAAAGTGTAGCCCCCAGCAAAATGTTGAGTTCAGTTGACGTTTCTTCAGAAATGGTCTGGTCTGTTTACTTTACTCCCAATAAAATCTCACCAGTTTTATATCATTATCAAGTTAATGTTACCCAATGAGGTGTTCAAAATTAAAAAGGCTGCATTTGATCAATTCCCAACTGCAGAGGGTGCACTTCCTAATGCGGCCGTTAAGCAATCTGTGTTTGCTATTTAATGGCATATTCTACCAAGATTATTTGTCATTATTTATTACTGTTAATAATTAACCAAATATGGCATCAGATCACCACTTGAAGTCTTTAAATTTACTTTCAAACATGCTGATTAAAAACAGTGATATTTATGCAAAGGCGAGAATGGGAGGGGAACAGGGTTAAACAGACAGATCAGCCACAAGTATTAGAATGCTTTGGTTCCTAACAGACTGACACCTTCTAAATAATACCTCAGCATATTCATAGTACAGTGCTCGGTACAGACATCACATAGAACCCTATGGGAGAACTGCACACACAGGAAGAAGACAAAGACATCTTCATGTTGGCACAGGAATTACAGTGGAATAAAAAAGTTTCACACCATGGTCAAGATCTACTTAATAGGAGAGAAATCTAAAGGGAGTTTTGAAAGAGATGTTTGGGTTTTAATTGAGTTTTAATAGAATAAATAAGGAGAAACTGTTTCCCCTGGCAGGAAGGTTGGTAACCAGTGAACACAGATTGAAGGTGACTGACAAGAGGAGAAATGTGGAAACGTTTTCTGCACAGAATTATTGTGATCTGGAACACACTGCCTGAAAGGGTGATGGTAGAGTTTCAATGATAACTTTAAAAACAAAATTGGATAAGTACTTAACAGGGAGAAATTTACAAGACTACGGACAAAGAACAAAGAAATGAATCTATTTGGATAACACTTTCAAAGAGGTGATACAAGAACGATGAATCGAATGGTTTCCTTCCATTATTCTTTGGTACCCCTCCACAAAATAGAATAGAATAGAATCCCTACAGTGTGGTAACAGGACCTTCGGCCCAACAAGTCCACACCGACCTTCAGACCATCCCACCCAGACCCATCCCCCTATAACCCACCTAATCTACACAGCATCCCCCTATAATCCACCTAATCTACACAGCTTCTTACCATATCTCTTAGAAACATCACATTGCACTTGATCAAAGTGGGAGTCTTGTACTCAATAGGTAATGCACTGTTATTGAGCCAGAAGCTCAGGTTTATGTTTCACTGCAGTGATGTGAACTGGTTGAAAATTAGCCTGCCAACACTTCCCCAAAGGGGGAAAAAGATTGTGTAAAACTATGAAATAAACAAGAACTTTTCTAACAATTCATTCTTGGTGTCATTGGCTAGGCCAGCATTTATTGTTCCTCACTAATTGCCCTTGAGAAGGTGTGGTGAGCTGTCTTCTTGAACAATTGAGGTCTGTGTCCTATTGGCACATCCACAGTGCTGTCAGGGAGGGAATTCCAGGATTTTGGCCCAGTGAGTATGAAAGCATGGTGATACATTTGCAAATCAGGAACATTTATGATTAAGGGGGGAATTTGGAGGTGGTGGAGGCTGCAGAATCTGAAACATCGGCGATAAAGGGATGAAAACACAAAGGACAGCTGGAGATGAGTAACAGAGACAGTGAAAGATTGAAACTGAGCCTTTAAGAAGACAGCAGAGAAAGGTCTATTATTTCATGTTGTCTTATGCTGTTAGCTGCAGATATTTAGTAAGAACCTAATCAACACAGAAAGACATACATGTATTACCTGAAAAATTTCATTGTCATACCAGGGTTTGCAAACCAGTGAATAGACATTTCCACCCGCAATAAACATGATAAGGACAAGCAGCATCAAGAGCCACGAGAAGATGAAACTGAAGCCGACTCCCCTGTTGGAGCAGAGCAAGGTGTTTGATGAGTAAAACTCTGTACTGTTTACATTCAAAGGAAGGCCTTCACAGGTTGGGGAAGGGGGCTATGTTAACATCTAATATGGTCTGAAGGGATGCCTGAGACCTGAGGAAACAAGGGAACACATGATGGATGCATTAATTAAGGGCTAATTGTCGATGGTTATATGAATATGAGGAGCTGGTAATCAGTAGGATGAGAGTTTCATGGAGTGTGATGAACTGGTATAGAGTTCTCACTAAAAGTGTGGACACAGGCTCTGTTCAAATACATATAGTTTTAAATATATAATGGGGGTGTCTCCCTTCTCTTCCAACTACATAACTTAACCAATGAAAAGTGTCCTTTTTACTGTCCCAACATGACAATTTCATTTGCCACAGCAAAATCCGTATGGTCTCCTTGACCCAAACCACTAGGTCACACTGAAAGCTAAAAACTGCAGATGCTGAAGGAGCAAAATGAAAACAGAAATGCCACAGAAACCCATCAGGTCAGGCAGCAACTGGGGACAGAAAAATAAAATAAATGTTTCCAGTTTAATAACTCTTCTATTTTGTACTCAGCATTGTCCAGTTTTATAATGGCTGAGATAAAATTGATCAAACTTATTTCAATTAGGTGGCCCACACCCAGTATATTGGCCCAGATTCTGTGGTGGGAATGATGATGAAAGTGTCAGTGTTCACCAATGTCTCAGTCTGGAAGTGTTGGGATAAACTCTGAAGAGGAATTGTAGAATCCCAACAATGTGGAAAGAGGCCATTTGGCCCATCAGGTCTGCACCAACCCTCTGAAGAGCATCCCACTCCAACCAAGCACCCTACCCTATCCCTGTAATCTGGCATTTACCATGGCTAACCCACATAGTCTATATATCCCTGGACACTATGGGCAATTTAGCATGGCCAATCCACCTAAGCTGCACATCTTTGGACTGTGGGAGGAAACTGGAGCACCCGGAGGAAATCCACGCAGACGCGGGGAGAATGTGCAAACTCCACACAGACAGTCGCCCGAGGCTGGAATCAAACATGGGTCCCTGGTGCTGTGAGGCAGCAGTGCTAACCACTGAGCCACCGTGCCTTCCTTGAAGGACTTGAAGCAGAGCAAATTTTTTTAAACTTGGGTGTATAATTGCTCCGGGCATAAGTTATCAGAAGTTGCAGCCGAGGTGTTAAAGTCACAATTACCTTAAACTTATCGAGGTATTAAAGAAAGCCTGTTGTATTAAGAGCAATAATAAGATTACTGCTTTAGAAGTCCTGCTTTTCAGTCTCTTATTCCCTAAATTTTACTTTCAGCAACTTCTCCTTCTTTCTACTGATGCCTTTGATGCCAATATGGATCACAGCCTCAGCTTCTCCCTGCAGTAGCTCTATGAAACCCTTAGTCCTGGCACCAGGGAGGCAACATACCATCCTGGAGTCACAGAAATGGCTTGTCTATTCTCCCATCAAGTCTATTAAATCATCTACCACTGCTGCTGTAACACTCTTCTTCCCCCACCACCTGAGCAGCTGAACCAGCTGTGGCCCCAGAAGCTTTGCTCTCTCTACATTGTCCTGATGAACCATCATGTACACCAGGATCCAGAGTGGGAAACCGGAGCTATTATACACCCAAGTTTAAAAAAATTAGTGAGTGAGATAGACTCAGGCAACTCATGCACTAACTGCCTGGTCTTTCCAGATTGCCAAATGGTCTTTTGTGCCCACTGAGCTTGCCTGCTCCTAATCTGTGCGTGACCACTTTGCTAAATGGGCTTTTCAGGTAATTCTCACTTTCACAGATGCACAACTGTGATGTCAGTTGCCACATGAGTTCCAACATTCTGAAGTGAAGCTGAAGACATTTCCCACACGTGATCATCTATGCCACTCGAGATGTCCGCAACACCCCACTTGGCACAGGATAGGCTAGCTACTTTCCATGCTCTTAAAACTATTTACTTTAAAATGGGGTGAAAACACACATTCCTCTCAGTGCTACCTCACTGTCTGTCTCAGGTTTCTTCTCTCACTGCTCCTCCTTCAAACTTTATTTTGTTTTTCTGCGCATGGCTTCTGAGAGCTGGCCATGAAGATTATAAGTGAGTTAGCATGGGGGGCTAATGGCAAAGGGTGATTTGGGCATTGTTGGCATCAATTAGCACTAAGTTGGCATCAGGGCTATTGGGGGCCATGGAAAAGGGTAAAAGGGCATTGTTAGCAAGATAGGTAGAAGGATTATACTTTAGAAGAGGGGCTAAAAGAGGCCATTTTGGTGCCTAGAGGTTGACATTAATTGGCATGTATGGGGCAAAGGGAATTTGTGGGAATGTGAGGGGCTATGATGGGTACGGGACCTAATTTATTTTATTACTACAGAGATGAATACCCACAACACCAAAGTGAAACTTTTAAACAGCCCATCCCAGCACCCAGCAGCCTTTGTGGCTACTTCCACACTTTTAGAGGGTCCACTAGTCCAACTATAGCTTGCAATCCCACGATGAAAGCCACACTCAGAGTCATACAGCATGGAAACAGACCCTTTGGTCTAACCAGTCCATGCCGACCATAAACCCAAACCAGACTAGTTCCACCTGCCTGCATTTGGCCCATATCCCTCAAAACCTTTTCTATTCATGCACTTGTCCAAATGCATTTTAAATGCTGTAACTGCAACCACATCCACCATTTCCTCTGGAGGTTCATTCCACACACAACCACTCTCTGTGTAAAACAAATTGCCCCTCATGTTTATTTTTAAATCTTTCCCCTCACACCTTAAAAATACGCCCTCTAGTCTTGAAATCCCCCATGCTAAGGAAAAGACTCTTGTCATTCACCTTATCTATACCCTTCATTATCTTATAAACCTTTACAAGGTCATCTCTCAATCGCCTCTGCTCCAGTGAAAGAAGTCCCAGCTTATCCAGCCTCTCCTTCTAATTCAAACCCTCACCTCCTGGAGCGATGTTTTCCTGAAAGGAGCACAGGCATTTTCCTAACACCCACTACCCACCCAAGGATGAAAACACAGCCCAACGTTTCAGATCAAGATTACCATGCTTCTGACGCAGGGTAGTCTCGATATAAAACATTAACTATTTCGCTGCACAGATGGTGTTGATTTTTTTTAAGTATTTTATTTTCAAAATGAATTTTATAAAGTTTGTTTAACAATATTTTATCTTCTTTCTTAAGTTATAGTCAGTTATTTCACTGAGATTTTAAATTAAAAGTGAAGGAAAATCAGTAATTTCTTGTTTTGCTGTCAATGTGAAGACTTCAATTTGATTGGCTGCTTGCTGACATCACAGCTGCCAAACACCTGGAGATACCCTTATTCCTGCTTATAAAAGGATAAGAACGACAGGGCATGGACTTGAAGTGATTTACAAAAGGAGCAAGTGTGATATGAGAAAATAATTTTTTCACAGAGGAGTAATTAGGATGTGGATTGCACTGCCTACGAGTGTCATGGAGACAGGTTCAACTGAGACACTGAAGAGACCATTACATGGTTCATTGAATAGAAATTATGTTCAAGGATATGGGAGACAAGCTGGAGATTAGCACTACGTAATGATATTCATTTGAAGAGCTGGTAGAGATATGATGGACCAAACGTCCTCCTCCTGTGCTGTAACATTTCTTTGGTTACATGACTTAGAGTAAGATTCAAACTGACAACAGAAAAGGAGATATTCAAACCATAGAGGTTGCGAGATCTTTGTTGGCTGCATTTTTATGGTCAGTGACAGTTGCTATTGCTTCAGCACTTGACCAATATGTATATCTCAACCAATCGTCTGTTTAAAAAGTACGTTAAATAGCAATATATCACAGAGCTGCCTGTTGAGCTTTACTGTGCACAGCTTGGTTTCTGGATTTGTATAGATTGCTTATATGTGGCTGTGAAGCACTTTGGAGGTGCTCGAGTATGAAAAATGCTGTAAATTCAAGAACAACTTTACAATCTCAAATTAAAACATAAATACAAAAAATGCTTTTCTTCTTACGCCATGAGGAAATTCCCCCCACAGTTGGAGAATACGCTCCGTTCGATGGGATTCACATTGGGTTTGAGGTATGCTGTTCCCAGTAGAAGCCCCAGACAATTACACACAACAACCAGGAGAATGATACAGGACAGCGCAATCCCGACAATCCACCTGAAATACAGGAATACCAGAGTCATCCAACAAACTCAGGAAACTTATGTACTTTAATATGACCAGCTATATAAAATCTCAGATATGGAATTCAGAGAATGTTACATTGCATGGCAGGGGTATAGTGTCACTGTTCAGCGTGACAGTGAGGGGTGTGGGGTGTATCACAGCGTGACAGTGAGGGGTGTGGGGTGTATCACAGTGTGACAGTGAGGGGTGTGGGGTGTATCACAGCGTGACAGTGAGGGGTGGGGAATATAGCAGTGCATTAGGGTGAGGGGTGTAGAGTATATTACAGTGTGATGACAAGAGGTATTGGGTATATCAAAGTGTTACAGCGAGGAGTGTGGGATATATCAGAGTGTAACAGTGAGGTGTGAGGGGTATAACAGAGTGTTATTGAGAGAGATGTGGGATACAGAGTGTTACAGTGAGAGATGTGGGATATGTCAGAGTGTAACAGTGAGGGGTGTGGGATATGTCAGAGTATAATAGTGAGGGGTGTGGGATATGTCAGAGTGTAACAGTGAGTGCATGGGATATATCAGAGTGTAACGGTGAGAAATGTGGGTATACCATGGCTTTCTTCAGGAATGTGAGCTAAGTTAGAACGTTACATTGATAGCTGTGAGTTTCATCAAGTAATACAGTGCTGCCCCCATTCCCCATCTTACCTGTATTCATTGCCTTGCTGGATCTTCGGGCGGTATTCACTTATCTTGCTATCAACGAGATCTAGTGTGCTATTGATTGATTTTAGTGAGGTTAATAATGGAAACGCCTGTGTGATATTTTGTATCTGGTGTTCAATATTCTTCAAGTTCTTCTTTATTTCTGTGTAAATGTAAAAATATGATAATATTTATTTTTATGAAAGTTGTTTTTAAAATTATTTAATGCAAGCATACAAAATTAGTCAGAACAACTATTGGAATGTAGGCCATTCATATAGTAGGTTACATTTTGTTTGGGTGATGATAGCCCTGGCAACGAGCTGAAAGGCCGGGGGCAATCCCATCCCAATAGTTTCAAAAAGCCTTCATCAGTTTCTGTGGCCTTCATGCAGGTAACAAACTCTGGTGGGACTTTTGGTGAGAGATGATATGCCAACTCCAGGACAATTAGAGGAACAGCAATTCTTTGGTCCCATCAGCACAGCAGGGAGCAGTGGTCACAGCTGGGACTGCAATCATCCCAAAGAAATGGCACTGATGCTGCTCTCAAGATACATGGGACTGGGGTTGCTGGGTCCACTCAGGTGGATTTTGGTGAAGAGGATTTTGGGTTCTTTTATGCCATGCGGTGTTTCTGTGGTGGCGCCATTGCCACTGGGGGCCTGGGCCTGAAGCCCATTCATTTTGAGCCCACAGGAAGGCTGCCAAGTGAAGAGGTAAGAAAGAGGCATCAAAATGTTGCTTCTCTGACCAATCAATTGACCTCTGAATTGAAATGCCATCCTCTACTATTCCCATCCCTACACTGGATAAACTCTATGGTGGTGGGAAGGCAATACTATTCTATACCCCTGTATTCCCCTTACCACTTTATGGTGATCCCCAAATCTCCACCTCACAACCCACTCCTGAGGGTCCCATTAAACTCTGCCCAGTGTCTTCATAGCCTCTACCATAGCCCCCAAGCAATTTAAAACAAACCATGTAAGGTGATGTAAGGTGGCCAAACAGTATGCATTAAGGGCGTTTTAAATGAGTGATGTAGAGGGGTTTAGAAAAATAATTCTGGAGCTTAGCATCTCAGTTGATTACAGTGGCACAGCAAATAATTTTCCAAATTTTAAGACCAATGTTAAGAAGCCTTTATCATCAGCATTTTTGTACTCTCCAGTTTTGCAGCTTTTGAAAAAATATTAAAACAGTAGACTATATTCCTTTTTGTCATGTCAAAATCATGAGCTCCCATCAGTATGATTTCAGATCAACATCATTCTACTGATGCAGCCATTTCCTGGCCTAAAATTAATGTTATGGGTAATTTGCGGTTTAACTTGCAAAAGAATTTGGACAGTGCTCAACAGTATCACCATTGCAATCAAGTAATAACCTATGATCAGCTAAGGCAGTGGCCACTAAAGATACTGCAACTCATAACTAACTAAAATCTAAGAGTTGGAATAAACTTGCATAGCTATAAAAAAAATCCAAGATAACAATAAAACTCCAGCAAAACAAAAAGTGACCAGAATAATTTACAACATTCAACTGTAAGGCAACAGCTGATAATTATACTGTTTCAATGGTGCTTAATTTCTGAACACATTCATGCAATATACTTTACAACAACACTCCTGGTTTTATGTTCAGTGTCTACATGTACTTGTTTCTTTTAAAGAGTTATAAATCCTTCTTAAATTCAATGAAGTCCTATCCTCATAGGGGCCCATTTGTTATGATCCCAGTTGATGATAGTACTGCACAGTTCAGGTCACAAATGAAACTTGCCTTCATGGTTCACAAGATCAATTTTTGCAGTTGACTACCATGGTATTAGACACTGAGCATAGTCACACAAGTCCAGCATTGTTTTTAACACAGGAACAAAAGTTTATTATGTGAAAGAAAAAGACAAATAAAGCAAAAAAACCAAAACATTTCAAAATATCTTAAAACAAATAACAAAAAAAATTTCAACCCTTTCCCCAGTAATATCCATTACAGATACTCAATCCCAGAGAATTTCACTCTTATCTCAAATCTTAAATAGCTCAGTTAACTAATTCTTTCCAGTGCTCCTTCTTAGACTGCCAAGATAGTTTTATGACTCCTTTCCAGTTTTGCTGGTTTGAATCTCTTTATAGTCTAAAGCTCTTTTCAATACTGACATGTTGAAAAATTCTATACAAACTATCACAGCTTGGAGATTTCAAAAGGTAAAGCCTTTTTGCTGCAAGGAGACTGATCACCTGAACTGAAGTCCTGATTCCTTTGAACTGAAGGCAAAACCAAAACTAATGGCTCATGATCTGTTTTCTCTGTTTTTTTTGCAAACTTAGCAGTATTTAAAAAATATGTAGAAGCATAGAAAATAAGAACAAGAGCAGGCCATTCAACCCTTTGAGTCTGTTTCACCATTCAATATGATCATGGCTGATCATCCAACTCAGTCCCCTGTTCCTGCTTTTGCCCCATATCCTTTGATTGCTTTAGCACTGAGAACTATCAATCTCCTTCTTGAAAACATTCAGTGTTTTGGCCTCAATTGCTTTCTGTGGCACAGTATTTCACAGGCTCCACTCTCTCTCAATGAAGCAGTTTCTCTTCATCTCAGTCCTAAGTAGCCTACCCTATATCCTTAGACTGTAGCCCCTGATTCTGAACTCCCTGGGCGTCAGCTTCCTGCATTTCATCCTCTTGCAGCACAGATAGCCTTCTAGGCACTTAACTGAATCACATGCTTTCAAGGAAATTATGTATTTAGGCCATTGTACCAAATGGCATTCTGACTTCTTAAAAATGTTATAGTGGCAGAACTGAAACCAAAATCCATCTACCTCTATTTTAACAATCCAAATTCCCCAATTATAATAATATAATACCCTTGAATAGTAAAGAGTAGGAAATTAGAGGAAGTAGAATTTGAATGTTACTGACACAACATCACTCTATTTTGTACACATCAACATCAGTCTGCAATACCAAGATTTGATCCAAGGACTGCACTCACCTGACACCATGCTAATTGACTGGTTGATGAGCAAGGCTGGTGTATCATTAAACTCTTTATAACCCTTTGTAGAAAGGAACAAACACAGGTTAGGAAAGAGACAAGGTGTCAAATTTACACAGCAGATTACAAGAGTTTGAGTAATTATAGATAATGACTGAATACTGCTTTATTATGTCCTGGGAAACTAGGAGTGAATCATAGAGAGTTAATGAGTACCTGAAAGTTATCGAGTTTTATAGCCCAAATGTTTTCTATAACTGAGAGGTGTAGAGAATAATGGATTCTTAACAATATGAGAGACAATAATAGACATGAGTCAGTGTTACTCAAAGTAATTGTCACCTGAACATTTATTATAGCATGCAACAGAGAAATGCCTTCCTTGTATGTTGGATCAAGGTATAATTTATATTCTAATGAATACTGTAAAAGGAGATATTGAAAGAAATGCAACAAAGAACAGGTTCTAACATTCCTTTTTCAGCTATAATTATTCTTTATTCCCATTTATACCGTCAATGTGTTTCCTCAGGATGCATATTTTGGATTATCATTGTCAAGGTGAATTAACTTACAGAGTTGGATTTTAAATTCTTTTTTTTATTTTCTCTCTTTGAACTCGGTGGTGCTGCAATATAGAATTCTTTCCTGAAATCAGACTTTGAGAATGCTTGAACTTATAGAAAAGCTTTTAGCTGAGCGTGGAGCAGCTTTTGCTTTTTTCTGCCCCATCGCAAACAACAGACTTAGGAAAGCAGTCAAAATCTGTATAATTAAAGATGATTCAAACAAACCAACAGTCTCAGTCACATGAACAGGGCTCCAGGATGGGCCACTCTGGTTAGTGAGATGACATTGAAGCATCTAGTCAAAAATAATCATGTGTTTTAGAAGAAAACTTGAGGCCATTAGTGCCATCTCATGCATAATTTGTTTCGATAGTTTCCATTTTTCTGAACTGGCTGGCTCAGGCATCTCATTTGTGGTGCTTTATGTTACTTTGACTGGAATGTCTACACAATGCAAGGAGTGTGACATTCCAGGAAAATGATGCAATCCTTTATCCCCTGGAAACTGCTGATCAGTACTATCCACAAATTGTGGTCAACTGGCATTATCTAATTGAGACAGTGACGTCATTGGTCCCACAAAATGTCCATTTTGAGAAAATTTAAGTAAGGGAATATAGCTTTAAAGAAAAAATGATTTCAGACCTCTCTACGTGATGGCACTATGTCAGGTAGCTCCTTCAGTATAAGTTCTGCTTCATAGGAATGACCTTGTTCTCCATTTAAATAACAAAGAGCTGTTCACTACATCGATTCCTGTTGCATTCCCTTCATTTCTTTTAAAAGCTACCAGTGATTTCTTGACTCTTTTTATTTTTATTGCCTTGTTCTCAGTGCTCAGGAACTTACCAAGCAGTTCCTTGTAATGTTGGTAATTCTCACTTCCTTCTACATATTTTTAATTCCAGGTCCCACATTCTTTGCCCAAAATGTATATTTTGTTCCTTTCTCTCTCCCTTTAAGGAATTCTCTGTCTCACTTTCTCTCTCTTCTCTCTTTCTGCCAAAAGTATCTCTTTTTCCCTTTCACTTTCTCCTACTCTCCCTACCGAACCTCTTTCTACTCTCCCCCTTTTCAGTACTACCAGCATTTTGCAGCTATGGATAAGTATTCTGGGTACAGGATTCCAATCAGTTTTTGGTTCTGGTTCTTCTGATACTTCTTCCAGAATAAGGGCTCAGGTCAAAATGCTTAAAAGTATCTGGAATAGCTTGGGTCATTTTACCTCAAGTAAATCTTTTTTGTGTCCGGCTACAAATCTCAATCGTCCTAGGCTTAGAGAGGCTACTACTTTTCCAGTCAATTCTTCCTTTTCAACAGTCATGTTTGTAGTACAATTTACAATGTTGCTCTGGTATTGCTGCAGTACATTCATTTATCTTAAAGATAATTCCAGCCACTAAATTAGACCTTGCAGATTATAATTGGTTTTGTTCTATATCCATGTAGATTTGCTTCATAAATTTAGACTCTGGTCAGATTTTCTTTACTTTGGTCAAAACCTGCTCTTTTGCAATGGGCTCTATCACAGACATGACACCCCAATTTCTGTCACAGAAAGATGAAGGTGTTAATTAAATAATTTTTATTGCTATCTCCTGTCCATAACAGAGGTGGATTACAATTTGTTTCTTATTTACTTTCCCTATCTGTAATAGGCAGTGGCCCTTTTCTTCAAACCCTACTTGTGAATTTGAAAATAACCCACTGCAAGTTATTTCGGTAAAAAACCCACTGCAAGTTTTTTTAGGTAAAAACAAAGTAATGTTTACTGATGCATTCAAAACCCAGAGAGAGAATGATTTGCAGCACACACTCATGCACACAAGCATACTTGGAAGAAAGAAAAATGGATAGGAAAGAAAATACATAATGAATAACTTAATAATTTAAAATGTTGATATTAATTTTCTTGATTTAGAGTCCAGTGAGTCAATGTCTTAATGATGTTTTGCAGTTGGCTGGTCTGAGAGAATTCTTTTTCCTGTAAGTTTGAATGAAGGTGATTGCGTTGAAAGAGCCATATAACTTTCGACTGCTAGGAACTATTTCACTTTTCAGGTGAAATATCACATTATTTCCCAAAATCAGACTTCAAGGAAGGTTGGGACTAGAGTTAGGCTTTTAGCTTCGCCAGGAGCTGATATTGTTGTTTTTAGTCTCTGTGGTAAAAACCAGATTAAGGAGAGAAATCAAAAATCTATATAATTAAATGTAATTAAAACAATCCAACAGTTTTTGTCATTTTAGTTAGTGAGATTACTTTGTTACAGCTAGTCAAAAACCGTTGAGAATTTTTGGAGACAGCTGCAGAGGACATCAGTGCCATCTTGTTTTGTCCCTTTTGTTTTATTCATTCACGGGATGAGGGCGTCGCTGGCTGGGCAGCATTTATTGCCCATCCCTAATTGCCCAGAAGGCAGTTAAGAGTCAACCACATTACTGTGTGTCTGGAGTCACATGTAGGCCAGACCAGGTAAGGATGGCAGTTTCCTTCCCTAAAGAACATTAGTGAACCAGATGGGTTTTTCCCAACAATCGGCAATGGATTTACGGTCATCATTAGACTCTTTTTTCCAGATATTTATTGAATTCAAATTCCACCATCTGCCATGGCAGGATTCAAACCAAAACATTATGTAGGTCTCTGCATTAATAGTCCAGTGATAATACCACTAGGCTATCACCTCCCCCTGATTACTGCTGATTGTGGTCAACTAGTGTCATGTGATCAGCAGGAGACATAATGACAATCCAGTCTGCCCCATTGATAATAAAATTTAATGAAGAGTATATAGATTTTAAAGATAAATAATTAGCATTCTGATCTTGGCAGTGTGAAAAAAAATGTCCTTTAACTTTGTTCCATTCCTAACTTCCTCATCTTTAGCTTATACTCCTGGGATTTCAGTACTTCCCAGTCAGGAATAGCCTGCCAAGGGGCCACTTTGGCTGACTTGGTTCATAACCTTCAAAATCTGGAAAATAGTCAATATTATGAGGCTGGATGGATTGATGATTTTTCAGGTTATAACTATCTTACCTTTTGTACAATGGAATAAAAGTTGGTGGCCACAATTCGCCTCATGGCATTTATCTCCTTGTCCATATTAGGAATCTGTTAATAAAACAGAAGTGATTTGAACATCAGAATTTACAAGTTGTATTATACTTCAGTGGCAAGATGAGATCACAATACCACCCAGGCAGTGAAGCCTGGCTAGGAATCCAATCTTGCTTGTCGTACAGTGACTCTGGGCTTTGGTACTAGGAGCTTGTCATTCACCATACTCCACATGCACCAATCCCCATTTCATAGTAACATTGACTCTTATGTATTCCTCGAGGGGATGCAGTCACTGTAGTGGAAGTTGCAGTTGGCTGACATGGACCAGTTGGAGAAATGGGGCCTTAAACTTTGGGATAAAGTGGCAAACAATGTGGATGCAATTGAGGGAGTTACCTGAAAATGGCCCAAGCCCATTCTGACTACTCCTCAGTTCTTTGAAGTGACTTTACAGAATAGAGTCATCTTCAGACTGAATTGCATTGCTGCATTGTTCTCTTTCCAATCTCAGTGTTTCTGATCTGCGTCTTCAGGAACAGATAATCCACAGATCAAGGAGGTGATTCTCCTTGTCATTGTAGCAAGTGGATATTTATATGTGTTTAAATGTCAGCCCATGTACATGAATTTCCCACCTTCTCAATCTTGCCTCTCAGGGTAAACCATATCAGTTGCCTCTCTCTAATGAGAGAGCAGTCCTATGGTCCTCTGGAAGTATGGTAACTTTAAGTTACTTTACCTTTATATGTACAATGCATATAGTGGATAAAAGGGAGAGATTCATCCTGTGCAATATGGTTTGTATGTATTTCATTATCTACTCCTAAAGAGCACACTGTGAGTAAAAGGAAATGATTCTCTCCAATGTGGTACCATTTTGTCTTTGATTTTATAAACGGAGAAAGGTGAACTCCAAATTAAAATTTTAAGGAGAATCTTAAAGGAGAAAAGAGAGGCTTCAGAAGAAAAATTTCAGAGATTAGAATTCAGGGAGCTATAGGCACATTGGACAATGATGCAACAATGAGTATTTGGGATTCATTTGAGGCCAGAATTGGAGGAAGGCAGATATTTGAAGAGGAGGGTTGTGGGGAAGGGCCAGTACATGAATTACTCCTTAGGAGGGCCAGTACATCATGATAAGTTGAATGTCCTTTTTCAGAGCAGTAGTGATTCTATTGTGTCCTGAGCAATTCTAAGGCTGGAAGAGGTAACAAAAAATAAAGACCGGTGACCAGCAATTTTTGTACCATTGTAAAGTTGGCAACAAACTCAAGATGCTTCACAATGTCCTGGATGCTGACACATTGTAAACCACACGTATTGAGTGTTCTGTTGATGTTTTGTCGGATGACAGTCAAATTCTTCTGGAGAACCTCCTGTCGATGTAGCAGTGTTGCTGCTGTCGAATTTATAAGCACCAGTCTTTCATTCATCTCAGTGATAACTGCGAATAAAAGCAATCAGAACATGGCCAACATGATTCAGTCAGAATTCTAATAAACTTTGAAATTTGAAACCATCCCTTCTGTATCATAAACACATTTCCTTGTTCATTTTCATCCTTTTTATGTTGTCTTACAAAGCATCGAAACAGATTTTTGGCTCAACTGGTCGATGCTAGTGTTATGCTCCATACAAGTTTATTCCCTACTTCATTGTCATACACCAGAACTGTGCGGAGACGAAAAGAGAACTTTGAAAAATCTAATATAGCTCTGAATATGCACACTTGATAGTGAAAAAAAAACGATCATTCATGAAAACATCAAACTTTTAAATTGTCTTAGATAGTCAGTCTCTTATAAAAATAAACACACTTCTGTTCAGAAGACAGTTGATCCTTTAATAGCCTTTGCAGTCTGCCCGTCAAACCATGAACAGTTAAGACAACTGTAGCTTTTGAAACTCAGCCAAGCAATCATAATGACATAATAATAGGCCTTTGAGAAATGTCAACAAAGACCTCGATTGAAACAGCTTGTACAGATACTCCACCAACCGGCCTACCAAATAAATTAGTTCAGCCAAGATTTTTTGAACAATCACTGATAGAGCAGGTTATTTTTTAAGTATAAAGAGTAGAGGATTTCTTAAAAAATCCTTCAGAATATGATAGTTAGATAAACCTTATTCCATCAATTCCATCAATAATGCTTCAGTAAATGAGATAGTTACCATGTTTCCTTCATCAATGTGCTCAGATTTGTGGTCATTACCTTGTGCTAACTGAGATGCTGAATTCAATGAAGGGTATATGGTTTCACCCAGCTTCTTCATGACTGTTTCACCAAGACTTGAATCTATATCTGAAAATGATAAGAATAATTGGAAATAATGATTATACGAAGGTAATAACCTGCACCCTGCAAACCCACAGGAAGTTGCATTCTAGGAAGAGAAGGTGGTATGGCAATAATGTCCCTGGACTAGTAATCCAGAGGCCTAGACTAGTGCTCTGGTGGAATTTAAGTTCAGTTAATAAGTGTAGAGTGTAAATGGTGACCATGAAGATGTCATCAATTATCAGTAAAACCCATCTGGTTGACTAACGTCCTTTACATTCTTATCTTATCTGGCCTACGTTTAACTGCCGACCCACAGTTATTTGAATTTTATATATCATTAACACTAGGACTGTATGACTCATGAGCATTGCATCTATAAATAGATTTAACTAATGGGGTATAAACCATGTAGATATTTGATGCTGTACAAAATAAAAAAAATCTGGCAGGTCACCTTTGAAGCAGGTATGCAAATTGTCTGTTGCCACTTCACAATTAACTGTTAATTTACGGATGCCGCAATGGGTGTTTGTTACTGTAACCAGAATGGACTCAAAGTTTCAGTATAAGTTTTGTCCCAAGAACATGTATCCTTCTTGTGAATAAAGCCATCTTGATCTCTAATTTTTTTTTGATGGGCAACAAGGGTGGTCCTCTGGTACCCTTCCGTTTATCGCCGATTGGAAGAGGGAAATTTTTATGTTGGTCGTATCTGTTTAAGTGTTCTTCTAGTTACCACCTGGTTAACAGCAGGTCTGCAGTAAGCAACTCCCTCTGATAGGGTTAATCTAGAAGACTTGAGTTCAGCATCGTTCCTCAACCAAAAGGTCAACAGGAGAACAGTTGCAGGTTCATTAGGTTCATCCTGGATATGGGGGAGTTTTCTTATGAAGAGAGGGTTGGGCCTCATTGAAGCTTTGAAGAATATGAGGAAACACCTTATTGAAGCATATAAGATTCCTAGGGGGCTTGACAAGGTAGATGCAGGAAGATTGTTTCCCCATGTGGCATCATCTCAGAATAAATGGTTTCACATTTAAGGCAGAGATGGGGGGAGCTGTTTCTGAGGGTGTTGATCTATGAAATTCTTTCCACAGAGAGCTGTCAAGCTGTGTCAGTAAGAATATTCAATGCTAAGATTGGCAGATTTCTAATCAGTACGGGAATCAAAGATTATGGGGATAAGGCAGGAAAGTGGAGTTGGGGATTATCACATCAGCCATGATGCAGCAGATTCAATACGCCTACCTCTGCCTCTATATCTTATGATCTTATGGTCTTATGGTTACAGCAACTGAATCTTCACTGACCCTGAAATGGCCTAGCAAACCATTCAGTTCAAGGTTAGGCATGGGCCATTAACAGAGATTTCCTACTTTCCATGAAGAATAGAGAAAAAACAAATAATCTATTTACAATTGTGTTTCTTTACTACTGGGGGTAGGGTTACTTCATGATAGAAGGATGTTAATGGGGGTCAGGAGACAGGTACATGTAAAAATAAACACGAAAGATTTTAAAAAGTTGATATTGGAACGTTGAGTTATTTATTGCTCAGAGAATCGGATAGGAAATCTGCTTCCAGCCTTTCTCAATCCCACTATCATGATGGATGCAGGACATACACTGCTGAGATATCACCAATATACCTAAACATCAGAAAAGTTTTCTGGTTCCCAATGCTATTCTAGACATTCATGACAATTCATTTCCTTCCCTCTGCTCCAGAAAATTCGCATTCTACCCAATCACCATTAAACAGCCAAAGGAAGAGTGTGTTACAAAGTAGAATCTTCCCAAGGTGTTAACATCAAGTTGTAATGCAAGGAATCTGCCTTACTTGCTTAAGAACATAAGAACATAAGAACTAGGAGCAGGAGTAGGCCATCTGGCCCCTCGAGACTGCTCCGCCATTTAATAAGATCATGGCTGATCTTTTTGAGACTCAGCTCCACTTACCCGTCCACTCGCCATAACCCTTAATTCCTTTCCTGTTCAAAAATTTATCTAGCCTCGCCTTAAAAACATTCAGCAAGGTAGCTTCAAATGCTTCAATGGGCAGGGAATTCCACAGATTCACAACCCTTTGGGTGAAGAAGTTCCTCCTGACCTCAGTCCTACATCTGCTTCCCTTTATTTTGAGGCAATGCCCTCTGGTCTAGTTTCACCTGCTAGCGGAAACAACCTCCCTGCCTCCACCTTATCTATTCCCTTCATAACCTTATATGTTTCTATAAGATCTCCCCTCATTCTTCTGAATTCCAATGAGTATAATCCCAGTCTATTTAGTCTGTCCTCATAATCCAACCCTCTCAACTCTGGAATCAACCAAGTGAATCTCCTCGGTACCCCCTCCAGTGCTAGTATATCTCTTCTCAAGTGAGGAGACCAAAACTGCACACAGTACCCCAGGTGTGGCCTCACCAGGACCCTATACAGCTGCAGCATAGCCTCCCTGTTTTTAAACTCCATCCCTCTAGCAATGGTAGACAAAATTCCATTTGCCTTTTTAATCACCTGCTGCACCTGCAATCCTACTTTTAGCGATTCTTGCACAAGGATACCCAAGTCCCTTTGCACAGCAGCGTGCTGCAATTTTTTACCATTTAAAACATCGTCCATTTTCCTGTTATTCCTACCAAAATGGATGACCTCTCACTTATCAACATTGTACTCCATCTGCCAGACCTTTGCCCACTCACTTAGACTATCTATATCTCTCTGCAGACTTTCAGTGTCTTCTGCACACTTTGCTCTACCACTCGTCTTAGTGTCATCTGCAAATTTTGACACACCACACTTAGTCCCCAACTCCAAATCATCTATGTAAATTGTAAACAATTGCGGTCCCAACACTGATCCCTGAGGCACACCCCTAGCCACTGACCGCCAACCAGAAAAACACCCATTTACCCCTACTCTTTGCTTTTTATTGGTCAACCAATCCTCTATCCATGCCAATACATTACCTGTAATACCGTGCAACTTTATCTTATGTAGCAGCCTTTGGTGTGGCACCTTGTCAAATGCCTTCTGGAAATCTAGATACAGCACATCCACAGGTTCCCCATTGTCCACCATGCAAGTAATGTCCTCAAAGAATTCCACCAAATTAGTTAAACATGACCTACCCTTCATGAACCCATGCTGGGTGTTCCCAATGGGACAATTTATATCCAGATGTCTTGCTATTTCTTCCTTGATAGATTCAAGCATTTTCCCCACAACCGAAGTTAAGCTAACTGGCCTATAGTTACCTGCTTTTTGTCTACTTCCTTTTTTAAACAGTGGCGTCACATTGGCTGTTTTCCAAACTATGGGAACCACCCCAGAGTCCAGTGAACTTTGGTAAATAATTACTAGTGCATTTGCTATTTCCCCCATCACCTCTTTTAGTACCCTGGGATGCATTTCATCAGGGCCAGGAGACTTGTCTACCTTTAGCCCCATTAGCTTGCCCAGCACTGCCTCCTTAGTGATAATGATAGTTTCTATGTCCTCACCTGCTATAACCTTCTTGCCATCAGTTTTCGGCATGTTATATGTGTCTTCCACAGTGAAGACCGACACGAAATAACTGTTTAATGTCTCGGCTATTTCCTCATTCCCAGTTATTAAATTGGCCTTCTCATCCTCTAAAGGACCAATGTTTACCTTTGCCACTCTTTTACAATTTACATATTTATAGAAACTTTTGCTGCCTGTTTTTATATTCTGAGCTAGTTTACTTTCATAATCCATCTTACTTTTCTTTGTAACTTTTTTTGTGGCTTTCTGTTGGCCTTTAAAGATTTCCCAGTCTACTAGTTTCCCACTACTCGTTGCTTTTTTGTATGTGTTTTTTTTTCAATCTGATACTTTCCTTTATTTCCTGAGACATCCATGGCTGGCCCTCTCTTTTCCTACAGTTCTTCCTTATCATGGGAATATACTTCTGCTGAGCACTGTGAAAAATCGTTTTGAAAATCCTCCACTGTTCCTCAATTGACCCACCATAAAGTTTTTGCTCCCATTCTACCTTAGCTAACTCCTCCCTCATTCCTTCATAGTCTCCTTTGTTTAAGCACAGGACATAGGTACTGGATTTAACCTTATCACACTCTATTTGTATTTTAAATTCGACCATACTGTGATCGTTCCTTCCGAGAGGATCCCTAACTGTGAGATCATTAATTATTCCTGTCTCATTACACAGGACTAGATCTAGGATAGCTTGCTCTCTCGTAGGTTCCATTACATATTGTTCAAGGAAATTATCGCGGATGCATTCTATGAACCCCTCTTCAAGGCTGCTATGACCGACTTGGTTTGACCAATCGATATGTAGATTAAAATCCCCCATGATAATTGCTGTACCATTTTTACATGCATTAGCCATTTCTATGTTTATTGCCCACCCCACCACGATGTCATTATTTGCTGACCTATAGACCACACCTATTAGTGACTTCTTCTCCCTGCTATTCCTAATTTCCACCCAAATGGATTCAACGTTTTGTTCAGTAGAACCTATATCATCTCTCACTACCGCCCTGATATCATTCTTAAAAATCAGAGCAACACCACCTCTCTTACCTTCCTGTCTGTCCTTTCGAACAGTTTGATACCCCTGGATATTTAACTCCCAGTCATGACCATCCTGTAACCACGTCTCTGTAATGGCCACTAAATCATACCCATTTGCCATGATTTGCACCATCAACTCATCCACCTTGTTTTGAATGCTCCGAGCATTCAGATAAAGTGCCCTTATGCCAGTTTTTGCACCTTCTTTTTGGGCCCTATTACCTCCATTACTAACAGCTCTTGAGTTCTCCTTCCCTTTAACTTATTTCTTAATTTTCAATGGAGTTGAAGCTTCCTCGTCATCTGCTAACCTGCTGCTTTGCCTTACATTAATTGTTATTGTCCCTCTACGCTCACTTCTCCCTTCCCCCCTACTTGCTAGTTTAAAGTCCTATTAACCACCATATTTACCCTTTTCACCAGAACACTGGACCCGGCCCTGTTCAGGTGGAGTCCATCCCAGCGGTATAGATCCCTCCCATCCCAGAACTGATGCCAGTGCCCCATGAAAAGGAAACCCTCTTTCCCACATCACTCTTTTAGCCCCTGTTTACTTCCCTGATCCTCACCTCCCTATACCAATTTGCACATGGCTTGGGCAGCAATCCAGAGATTATGACCCTTGAAGACCTGTTTTTTAATTTTATTCCTAGCTTTTCATAATCCCGAAACAGGCCTTTTTTCCTAGTCCTGCCTATGTTGTTGGTACCTACGTGGACCACAACAACTGGATCTTCCCCCTCCCTCACTAGTATCCTTTCAAGCCGGTCAGAGATGTCTCACACCCTGGCACCAGGCAGGGAACACACCATGCGGGATTTTCTATCCTGCTCGCAAAGGATACTGTCTATCCCCCTGATGATGGAATCCCCTACAACTACAATCTGTCTTTTTGCTCCCCCCTCTTGAATGGCCTCCTGGACCATAGTGCCATGGTCAGTTGACTCATCCTTCCTGCAGCCCTGTTCCTCATCCACGCAGGGAGCAAGTGCCTCATACCTGTGGGACAGTGTCAAGTGCTGAGGCTCTTGTGTTCCTGTCTGCAGAGTCCCTCTACCTGCCTCACTCGCAGTCACACACTGCTGTCCCTGCCTGCCGATCGAATGAACATTAGTTAATCTACCAGGATGTCTAGAATCTGCGTTTCTCTCACCACCACCTCAATCTCACTGACACACCTTGGCTTCCAAATCAGTATTGCCAGGATTTTGAAATTCTCATCCTTGTTTCCAAATCCCTCTGCCCCTCATTTCTCCCTATCCATGAAATCTTCCTGCAACTTGCTGAGATCTCTATTTTCAGCTGATTCTGGTCTCTTCCACACCCTCAGTTTTCATTGCTCCACCAATGGCAGCCATGCTTCAACTGCCTGAGTTCTGTAATTTCCTCCCTTCGACAAGTTATGGAAGTGGACAAATATGTGGCAGATGCAAAAATGGCTACAAAATCAAACAGCAGGGAGTAATCAGCATGGAAGGAAGTATACATCAGACAAAATTTGTCACTAAGCCACATAAGGTGATGTTAGGACAGGTAACCAAACTCTTAGTCTAAGATGTAGATTTTAAGAAATATCTTAAATGAGGAGAGAGAAATATGATTGAACAGATGTAATTTGACTATGTGGTATGTCAACTTCTAATTACTGAGTTCTGAATTGTTTCTTCATTGGTTGGCTGCATCTGATCTAATTTCCTTTCCTTTCCATGTACCTTTTCCTTAGGCACAATCCATTTTTACCATCTCCTCTTCTTCACCATTCTTCTGTGGCCTCTAACAGCTCTGAACATTTTCTCATCCAGACGATTCTTTATACCTCAGCACCAAAGAGTTAAACCTGTTCTTATTGTGTCCCTTTTCTCCTCCCAGAAACTCCTACATTATAACTTAGCTTTGCAGTGTTTACTAGTCAGGTTGAAGGTTTTCAAACTGGACAGGATCAGTGTGTCTGAAATCTTCACCTTTGGATGACAAAGGTCTTGCATTCAAATACAAACCATTTCATTGAATCATGGCTTGTAAAAGAAACAAAGAACGAGAGGGCATAGCTTTAAAGTGATGTGCGAAAGGGTGATGTGAGAGAAAACGTTTTCACAGAGTGGGTAGTTAGTGCGTGGAATGCACTGCCTGGAAATGTGGTGGAGACAGGCTCCATCAAGTCTTTCAAGAGGGTGTTGGATGATTAGTTGGATGGAAATGGTATGCAGGGATATGGGAAAAAGGCAGGCATTTGGCACTAGACAATAGAACTAGTGCAGGCATGATGGGACAAATGGCCTTCTGCGCCAAGAACAATACTGTGATTCTGTGATGGCTATTGGCCTGACTATCTAGAAGGTGGTACACATTGTGTCTTGCAGATAACAATGCTCTAAATTGGCTGGAATTATGCACTCAACATGTTCATGTTAAATCAGTTAATAATAAATGGTCACTTACTGTCCAGGTTAGCTGAGACACTAGCTACTGGTATTGCACTGGCATCAGTAATGGTTGTAATTTGCTGAAGAAAAAATATTTTAAAGAAATGTTAAAATTTTAATACATAAGTTACCCGTGAAAGTCTCATCATACAAGAACACCAGTTCTTGAAGACATTATCAACCAAGTGTCCAGGCTTACGGATATGACCTCAAAATCACACACAAGTCTCCAACATGTATATAAAATATGAACCAACTCCTGAGACATTTTTAGTAACAATATTTATACAGCGCAATAAAAATCATAAAATCTCCCAAAGTATTTCACAACAGCAACATCAATAAAAATATTTTTGACATTAAGCTTTGCAGCGAGCCACGTAAGGAAGATACTAGAACAAGTGCCCAAAAGCTTGGTCAAAAAGACAGGTTTTAAGAAGAGTCTTAGAAGAGGAGGAAGAGGCAGAAAGATTTAAAGAGGGAATTCAGGGTCCAGGTACTTGAAGGCACAGCCACCAATGATGGAGCAATAAAGATTGGGGGCATATACGATATCGGAATCAGAGGATCTCAGAGATCCCAGTGGATTGCAAGGTTGGAGCAAATTAGAGAGTTGACATGGAGTGATGAAGTGGAGGATTGGAACACAAGGATGAATATTTCAAAATTAAGGCACAATTAGATGGGGAACAATTCAGTAAGCACAGAGGTTGATTGGAGAATGTGATTTGGAGTTGGTTAAGCCATTTGCAGCATAATCTTGCATGAATGTAAGTTTATGTAGTTTATGCAGCAAATTACTTTTTCAAATTAAGCAAAAACTTCAAAAGAGAAACAGAACATTTGACTCCACAACCCTATATTAGTATTTACCCTCTAACAGTTGTATCTTAAATACATGGGTTCCCCTGATTCTATGTCCCTTCAATCCCCCATTCCACCCTCATGTTCCTAAATGTTAAAATCAGTGGAACTTCTCATGTCAGAGAACTCATCTGATGCATTTCTCACAAAGTTGCATGAATACAGTTTGCTTTCAAATATTTAATTAAATAAAAACCCGGTTTTTTTCTCTCATGGAAACCATGATAGATAAATACCCAAACGTGCTCACATTATTCAGCCTCCTATGTATTCCCCAATTGGCTAATCTTAGAGAGCAAGTTTTGGAAAGCTGTTCAACTGTGGATACCATGAAAGCCAATTCATTCTTTCACTTACATTTCCAGCTCGTGTTTTTGAGCCATATGCAGGAATGAAAACCTATTCATTTTTCTCCTTCCTAATCTGAAGCTAAATGTCACCTTCCCTACATCACTCTATGTATGATCAACTCATCCAGTACAGACTGGGTATGACTCCAGGAAACATTTACAAAATCTGAGTGGTCTCTTGGCTTATCCACCTCAGCCAATGACAAAGCCTTACCAGAGAAACATACCTGCAAATGTTCATTCAAGGAATGAGAGACTTCGTTTACTTGGAGAAACTGGGGAATAGAGGCTGGAATTGTTCTCGTTAGAACAGAGGTGGTTCAATAGAATTTTACCAATGTTCAAAATTATGAAGGGATTTGAAAAAGTAAATAAGGAGAAATTATTTCTGCTAGTAGGAGGGTTTGTAACCAGAGAATTTAGAGGATCTCATAGAAACCTATAAAATTCTAACAGAATTAGACAGGGTAAATGCAGGAAGGATGTCCAGGATGCCCAGTACCAGCAGTCATAGTCTAAGGATAATAGACCTTTTAGGACAATTATGAGGAAGAATTTCTTCACCCAGAGAATGCAAGCCTGTGGCATTCTCTGCCACGGGAAACTGTTGACACCAAAACATTGAAGACTTTTGAGAAAGATTTAGCTATAGTTGTCAGGAATTAAGGAATCAAAGGATACGGGGAGAAAGCTGGAATAAGGTGGTATTTTGGAAGATCAGCCGTGATCATACTGAATTGTGGAGCAGCTTTAAAGGCGCCAAATGGCCTATCCTACTCCTGTATTCTATGTATCTATGTTTAAGAGAATTCACAAAAAGACCAAAGGGGAGGTGAAAATTCTTTTTATGCAGCAAGTTATAACTCCAACGTAAGCAAAGGAAAAAAATGAAAGAACTGTAGCTGCTGGAAATCAGAAACAAAAACAGAAATTGCTGGCAGTATCTGTAGAGAGACAGCTGAGTTAATGTTTTGAGTCCAGTGACCCTTCTTCAGAACTGATGGTAGCTACAATCACAATTGTTTTCTCTCCATAGCTCTAATGTGCTGCCTGAAGCGCAATTGTAGCAGATTCAATAGAAACCTTCAAAGAGGAATTGGTTAAATAGTTGAAAAGGGAAAAAAACAATCGAACAAGGGGAAAGAGTGAGGAGAGTGGAAACAATCTGGCAGATCTTTCAAAGAATTGGCCAAGTAATGAATAGCCCTGCTGTGTGATTAGTTTCTGTAATTCTTTGGTAGTCAGTAATTTGTATGGAAATGAGAAACTGAAGTCAAAAAAAAGCAACACTTTTGTATCAAGGTGCCTAATCTTTAGGAAGGAACACTCACAAAGTACCTTGCAAATTGAGGCGACAGTCATCAATTTGTTCAAAATCTTAACTTAGTATGAAGGATTGCAACAGAAACAAAACTTACTTTTGGGATGGCATTAATGTAAATCTTCAGGTTGCCTAGGGTGTTTTCCAGTAAGTTTTCACTATGTTGTAAGGATTCTGAAATGTTTTCATTGCTGACAAACATGCAGACGTTTCCTCCTCTGTTTGTGGTATGTTAGAAGGAGCAAAAGCAATTGGCATTATTTCAGCATTTTGAAGAAAAGAAAGCCCTTGCTTTTACTTAATCACTCTTCATGACATTAGGATATCCAAGAGTGCTTTGTGGGCAATTTTAATTCTTAGTTTGCTTGATAATGATTCCAGATTTTGCAGCCACAACAATGGTGATGCGAGTAATTTACAATGTTATTGATCTGTAAATGGTGCAACAGTTTCAGGTGAGGAGATGTATGGTTAAATTAAAATATCCAAAAGTGGTGTCCACGTTTTGTTGCTTCACTGTTAGCTTTACAAAAATAACAAATCACTGTCTGACTACCTATTGACATGCATTAAATGGCGTGAGGATCTTGTAGTTCTACTACAGATAGACAGTATTCTAAATCTTGTCAATTCTTGCTACCAGTCAACCTCTCAGGCAGTGACAATTAACTGTTTGCAAAGACTGCATCTTCTTACTTCTCCATATTTTTGAATGTGGACTGAAATGGGGAAATGATTTTTTAAAACTCAAGGATTTTGCAAGGTATTGCTGTATTTTTTAAAAACAAGTTACCAAAAATTATTGTAAGTAGTATTTACGTTGTTGTTTCTTCAATCTATGGGAGCTATTTAGTGGCACTAGGGATTGTGTTCAAGGTGAGATTCAGCTGGCAACGAGTAGCTGATTGGTCTGGGGAGTGATGACCAGTTGTCAATGACAAATGCCTGCTGCCTACCAACAACTACATGATTGGCTCACAGGCAGGTGAACAATTTGTGGGTGGGAACAAAATAGCCAGAAGCCTTTAGACCTCCAGAAAGAGAGGTGATGTCTGTCTTTCTGCAGTAAAAAAAACTCAAGCCTGAAGAAAGTCAGTTATTTTTCTCATCAATAGCTGAGGACTGTGGCATTTAACCCATAAGTCAAAACATTTATAAGCTGTGAGCCAGTTGCTCTGTGCATCTTGCAAGCAAGTGAAAGTATCTGGGTAAGAGAAATTGAGGAGCATCAAGTCCTGGTAAGAAAAAAGGATAATCTCAGTGAGCCCTGTAGGCAAGGACCACTGAACCATCTACCCAGTTTTCCCTCCACCCAAAACATAAATTTTTTTGGTGTCTGTCTGTCTTTCTGTAAATGTTTGTAGGGAGAGTTTATAGGCAGGCTAGAGTTTTAACCTGTAGAATTATAAATCAACATTTTGTAGTTGTTTACCTATATCAATTTGTAATAAATAGTAACTCTTGTTAAGAACCAGATATCTGGTCCATGCTTTCTGTCAATCTGTGTCTACAAGATAGCTATAATCTTTAACATTTGTGATGACTCTGGGAATAGCAGATCTTAATTTCCAGTGTATTATCCCAGTGAGGATTGACATATTACAATTGTGGAGTCTCAAACCTTCAGGTTTTAATTAAAGATTTTTAAAATGTTGGTTTTGCATTTTGATATTTTTTAAACTTTACCATTGTCGTTTTTATCTCTTAATCCAGTTTTCTTTTCCTCTGTTTTTTTTATTACTTAGTTTGACATTGAATTTATCACTATTGTTTATTTTTTCTCAATCTTTGCATTTTTTTCAATTCTTCTCAGATTGTCTAAGAACACAATCATTTATTTCCCTGCTCACTCAGATTTCAGATGCTCTATTTCCTTCACTGAAGACTATCAGTTTGCATATTCAATAACACGCCATGAAAGGAATCTAATGCAGAAAAGTTTGAAAAAGTACATATAATCATGAAAATGTCTGTAACTTCAGAAAATGACAAACAATACTCACAGAATCACTGTTGTAACCATAAGCAAGATGGCTGCTAGTGTCCTCCTTCTATAGTTCATTGATCTTTTCTGCTCCTGGTACATCTTTCCTCCACAGTTCCCACAACACCGACAACAGCAGAAACAAATACCAACCAAGGGCATGAGGAGGAAGAAGAGAATTCCAATGGCTGCACAAACAATGAAGCCAACCTCATACTTCAGAACCTAGATGAGATGAAGATATAAACTAATATTTATTAACTTTAGGTCTAGACCTGAAGGACTCAATGGGGTCAAATTGATGTTTGTCAGTGGCACACATGAAACGATTGAGAATTAGTAGCTTGTTTCATGCTGAACCTGATTTTCTTTGCAATTTGATTCAATAGTAAGGCAAACTGTTAGGAGAGTAAAACACTTTACTCGTGATCACTAATATCCAAGCCTGATTTCACCTGCAATCCACCTTCTACCCTAAATTATTTTTATAAGAATCTCCAAACTTCGGAAATCCTCACCCCATTCAATATCTCACATGGTCTACATGTGTTTAAATGCGGCACTTCTCTGCATTATTCTGAAGCATTTTTAAATAGTCATTTGGTGGCACAGAACTTGAGATGCCAAAAAAAAACATTTTGTCAAAGATTTTCATCTTGTACACCTGGGCAATTCACAAGGACACCAACTCGCAGGAAAACCAACATTTATACTTCATGAAAGGAGGGTACTAATAGGTTGGCGAGAGGACACTGATTGGTAGAAGAGTTGCCATAGAGAATGTACCCAATACTGTTGCTACAGCACAGTCGCAGAGTGAAACAGCTGGCTTCACCTGTTGCTGAAGCAAAGCTTGGCTGTAAATTGTAAATCCTCATTAATTGGTGCATTCTCCATGGCAACACCTTTACCAATTAGAGTCGACTTGACAACTAACCAGAAATCTCATGAAGTACAGATGTTGGCTTTTCCTCTGGAGTTGATATTCTTCTGAATTGACCTGACGAGTGCAAGACAAAAAGCATTGACAACCTGTCTCTTTTGTCAGCAATGCTCAATAATACTTTCACTTATTTAATACATTATCACCTCTGACATAAGTGGATATTTAATCTGCTTTGTAATCAAGCATGTACGTGTCATGCATGTAAATATATTGACCAGTTGACAGCTAGTGGGGTATCTCAAATAAAGTAGGATGGTAGGTCTGTGATCTTGTTTCTGATGGTATTCCAAGGATGACATTGACCATAAAGTCTGTTTTCAAAATCAGGGTAGGTGATGGCCTAGTGGTATTGTTGCTAGACTATTAAATCCAGAAACCCAGCTAACATCCTGGGGCCCCGGGTTCAAAACCCACCACGACAGATGGTGGAATTTGAATTCAATAGTTTTTAAAAAAGAAAGGTCTGGAATTAAGAATCTACTGATCACCATGAAATCATTGCTGATTGTCGGAAAAATCCATCTGGTTCACTAATGTCCTTCAGGGAAGGAAATGTGCGACCCTCACCTGGTCTGGCCGACATGTGACTCCAGACCCACAGCAATGTGGTTGGCTGTCAGTTGCCCTCCGAAATGGCCTGGCAAGCCACTCAGTTGTACCAATCGCTACAAAGTCTCAAAGAAATGAAACCAGATGGATCACCTGGTATCGACCTAGAATCGACCTGGTATCGCACTGGAAAAGACAATGGCAGAAACAGCCCTGTCAACCCTGCAAAGTCCTCCTCATTAACATTTGGGGGTTAGTGCCAAAATTGGGAGAGCTGTCTCACAGACTCGTAAACAACAGCCTGACATAGTCATACTCACAGAATCATACCTTACAGACAATGTCCCAGACACCACCATCACCATCCCTGGATATGTCCTGTCCAACTGGCAGGACAGACCCAGCAGAGGTGGTGGCACAGTGGGATACAGTTGGGAGGGTGTTGCTCTGGGAGTCTTCAACATTGACTCCGGACCGCATGAAGTCTCATGGCTTCAGGTTAAACATGGGCAAGGAAACCTCCTGCTGATTATCAGATACCATCCTCTCTCAACTGATGAATCAGTACTCCTCAATATTGAACAACACTTAGAGGAAGCATTGACGATGACAAGGGCACAAAATGTATTTTGGGTGGGGGATTTCAATGTCCACCACCAAGAGTGGCTTGGCAGCAGTACTACTGATCGAGCTGATCGGGTCCTAAAGTACATAGCTGCTAGACCGAGTCTGCGGCAGGTGGTGAGGGAACCGACAAGAGGGAAAAACATACTTGACCCCATCCTTACCAATCTGCCAGCTGCAGTTGCATCTGTCCATGACAGTATCAGTAAGGGTGACCATCGCACAGTCCTTATGGAGACAAAGTCCCGCCTTCACATTGAGAATAAATTCCATCATGTTGTGTGGCGCTATCACCGTGCTAAATGGGACTGGGCATCCATGAGGCGCTGTGGGCCATCAACAGCAGCAGAATTGTACTCCAGCACAATCTGTAACCTCACGGCCCACCATATCCCCCACTCAACCATTACCATCAAGCCAGGGGATGAACCCTGGTTCAATGGAGAGTGCAGGAGGACATGCCAGGAGCAGCACCAGGCATGCCTGAAGATGAGGTATCAACCTGGTGAAGCCACCAAACAGGACTACTTGCACACCAAACAGTGAAAGCAGCAAGTGATAGACAGAGCTAAGCGATCCCACAACCAACGGATCAGATCTAAGCTTTGCAGTCCTGCCACATCCAGTCGCGAATGGTGGTGGACAATTAAACAACTCACTGGAGGAGGAGGCTCCACAAATATCCCCATTCTCAATGATGGAAGAGCCCAGCACATGAGTACAAAAGATAAGGCTTAAGCATTCGCAGCAATCTTCAGCCAGAAGTGCCGAGTGGATGATCCATCTCGGCCTCCTCCAGTGGTCCCCAGCATTACAGATACCAGTCTTCAGCCAATTCAATTCATTCCACATGATATCAAGAAATGGTTGCAGACAATGCATACTACAAAGGCTACAGGCCCTGACAAAATTCCAGCAATAGTCCTGAAGACTTGTGCTCTCGAAATTGCCACTCCCTTAGCCAAGCTGTTTCAGTATAGTTACAATACTGGTATCTACCCGACAATATGGAAAATTGCCCAGGTATGTCCTGTACATGAAAAGCAGGGCAAATCCAATCCAGCCAATTACCACCCCATCAGTCTCCTCTCGATCATCAGTAAAGTGATGGAAGGTGTCATCAACAGTGCTATCGAACAGCACCTGCTGAGCAATAATCTGCTCAGTGACGCCCAGTTTGGGTTCTGCCAGGGCCACACAGCTTCTGACCTCATTACAGCCTTGGTTCAAACATGGACAAAAGAGCTGAATTCCAGAGGTGAGGTGAGAGTGACAGCCCTTGACATCAAGGCTGCATTTGACCGAGTGTGGCATCAAGGAGTCCCAGCAAAATTGTAATCAATGGGTATCGGGGGCAAACTTTCTGATGGTTGGAGTCATACCTGACACATAGGAAGATGGTCGTGGTTGCTGGAGGTCAATTATCTCAGCTCCCAAGACATCTCTGCAGGAGTTCCTCAGGATAGTATCCTGGGCCCAACCATCTACAGCTGCTTCATCAATGACCTTCCCTCCATCATAAGGTCAGAATTGGGGATGTTCACTAATGATTGCACAATGTTACCATTGACCAGAGATTCAAGTGGACTCATCACATAAACACAGTGGCTACAACAGCAGGCCAGAAGCTAGGAGTGCTGCGGTGAGTAACTCATTTCCTGACTCCTCAAAGCCTGTCCAATATCAGCAAGGCACAAGTCAGGAGTGTGATGGAATACCCCCCACTTGCCTGGATGGGTGCAGCCCCAACAACACTCAAGGAGCTTGACACCATCCAGGACAAAGCAGCCCACTTGACTGGCACTACATCCATAAGCATCCATTCCCTCCACCACCGACGCTCAGTAACAGCAGTGTGTACTATTTACAAGATGCACGGCAGAAATTCACCAAAGATCCTCAGACAGCGCCTTCCAAACCCACGACCACTTCCATCTAGAAGGACAAGGGCAGCAGACATATGGGAACACCACCACCTCCAAGTTCCCCTCCAAGACACTCATCGTCCTGGCTTGGAAATATATCGCTGTTCCTTCATTGTTGCTGGGTCAAAATCCTGGAATTCCTTCCCTAAGGTCACTGTGGGTCAACCCACAGCGGTCCACCCACAGTGGACTGTAGCGGTTCAAGAAGGCAGCTCATCGCCACCTTCTCAAGTAATGCTGGCCAGCCAGCGATGCCCACATCCCACAAAATGAATAGATGTTTCCTTACCTCAACCTAAGAATTTTTAAGAATTGGCAGATGAGGCCTCAGTTTTATATTTACAACGTTTGCAACATCAAAGAGCTCCCTCAGTGCTCAGTCTGAATTCACAACACTGCTCTGGAGTAAGAATCAGTTTAAGCAAGTTCTCATGCATTGGAATGGAAGCCAATACACTCGAATGATTCCACCTTCATTGGAACAAGGGTCATGATTCATATTCCTGGACGAGAAAGTAGCAGGGAGAGATTGTCAGGCTCAGACCAGCAGCCTAAAACAATCACCAGGCCCTTTGACTTAGTAACTGAATCCCTGATCTGGGATGCAATGTAGCATAATATATTCAGTCATTCTTGGTGTGAGTATATAGAGTCATACAGCACGGAAACAGACCCTTCAGTCCAACCAATCCATGCTGAACATAATCCAAAACTAAACGAGTCCCACCTACCTGCTTCTGGCCTGTATCCCTCTAAACCTTTCCTTTTTTGCACTTATCCAAATGCCTTTTAAACGTTGTAATTGTACCTGCATCCACCACTTTCTCAGGAAGTTCATTCCACATGCAAACTGCCCTCTGTATAAAAAATTTGCCCCTCTTGTCTTTTTTAAATCTCTCTCCTCCCACCTTAAAAATGTGCCCATTAGTCTTGAAATCCCCCATCCTCGGGAAAAGACACGTACCATTAACTCTATCTATACCCCTCATGATTTTATAAACTTCTATAAGTTCACCTCTCAACCTCCTATGCTCCAGTGAAAAAAGTCCCAGCCTATCCTGCCTCTCCTTATAACTCAAACCTTTCATACTAGTTACATAGAGCCAAAGAGTCACAGAGTCATTCATCACAGAAACAGACCCTGCAGTCTAACCAGTCCTTGCCAAACATAATCCCAAACT